GTTGGGCAACCATAAGAAACAAAAAGAAAAACTTTCAGTCTCCACGAACGTCTCAAACATCCAGGACGTCACATATCCTACGACGCCTGCGCCTGCCAATGTCAATCGTAGGAGTTCGGTGGATAGCTCTGAGTCGACCACCTTTGAAGAGCCGTACGGGGGTTCCGACATGCTCATTTCGAGTCGGCTGGAACAACAGAACAAACCAAGATCGCCTTCTGTTGCCAACACTCCGACGATGGATACAAACCGGCACTCCGAGAAGGTTTCTGCCAGCAAGAGTCCTCTGAAGTTTGAGATTCATATTGTCAAGGTTCCCCTGGTCGGTCTTTATGGTGTCCAGTTCAAGAAGATCTCGGGTAACACTTGGCTGTACAAGTCGCTTGCTGGAGAGATCCTTTCGAGGCTTAATCTATAGTTATGAAGATATTATTAGGTACCTGTGTAATTTAATAAGGGGCTACGACTAGGGAAAATGTAAAAAAAAAGAGGGTGTGCATACAGCAGGGTTCGAACCTGCGTCCCATCACTGAGAATAGAACTTGAGTCTACCGCCTTGGACCACTCGGCCATGTATGCTTTCAACACGGTTTAACGGGTGGTGCACGTACTTAGTGTACAGGGAAGTCCTAATTTTGGATTGCGCCATGCATGTATAATATCATGGAACAATCTGCTTTATCTCCAGATTGTTATCTATGTCCTTTTTGAACAGCACAGTAGAGCTTTTGTTCATAGACGGCACGCGGGTCGACCTCCTTCTGGACGGCAACTTCGCGGCCACTTGTGGACTGGGAGGCGAGGCACAGGCACTTCGGGTCGGTGATCTAAGAGCGTATCTGTTCAAAAATTGGACTCTACTATCGACCTCTGGCACCAGTAGAGGCTCAGAAGCGGACAACGCTATCGAGCCTCCAACAATAGAAGAACAAATTCAGTTATTGCATCTGGGCAGCCGATTAGATCCGAACGAGTATCTGGAGGCTCTCAAGCTGGACCTTTCGCCGATAATACACCTCCTTGTGAAACCGATTGACCAGCTGTGCTCCTCCTCGAAGGAGCGCAAGTTGGATTTGAAAATAGGCTCCAATGCCCGGAGCGGCCAACGCAGCAGCAAGAGACGTGGATCGCACTCAAACACTCCTGTTCCCGCATTTGTGCCCCACGCAAGACCGACCATCGCCGGCAAGGCCACAGAGGATGCTCCGGAGACGGCTGGCACGCCACGTGCCTCCGACGCGGCCAATACAGGTGCCCAAGAACTCTCGGATTTGTCAAAGACACACACCAGTAACAACCCTGCAGAGGACATCGCTGCCAAACAAAACACCCTCACACAGAACGACGCTCGCCATGCAGCCCGCCACACGTCTCTTCCGTCAACCTCGGCGGCGGAGACCTCGAAATCCGGTTGCTGTCTAATTGTATAGCCCAACCCCTACACCAGATCATATATACCCCATTTCTCTGTATTTGGTACGAATAAACAACGATGTCGATTTCGCGGCAGGCGCTGGATTCCCGTCTGCAAAACGCAGTGTGTTACGTGCACGAGGCTGACGACAGAGGGGCCGGCGCGGTGGCTCCACTGGAGGTGAGTAGGTTGGCGAAACACGCGCTAACGGCAGTTTGTGGTATCGTACTATCTGGACCGAATCGCACGTACGGGGTGCTCAGTCCTGCATCTTACGACGGTCCACGCGTTTGACGTTGACATGGTGGCCAAATGGCGCGCGCACTTTGGCGACAACGTGTTCTCAAAGGTGCGTATCGAGCGGTGTCTGAGTCTTGCAGAGCTGCTTGAGCAATCGCAGGCAGACGTGGATTTGCTTGTTATTGAGGACATACGTGGACTATTCAACCTTGAGTTTGCAAAGAACTACACGGGAGGTGCGTATTTTTCTTGATTTCACTGACCGGTAGCAAGTGCTAGCGTGGTGGGGCTTATGAGGAAGCTGCGCGAAAAAGCATACAAAACAGGGTGTTCAACGATGGTAGGTAATACTCAAGGACAGGCTAACACACAGTTTGTGGAGAGGGAGCGCGGGGCGCAGTTCCAGTCGCGGCCGATCGAGCAGTACGTTCGCACACTGTACGACTATGAGGTTGAAGCGGGCTGGAATGAGGTGTAGGGATGTGGTATACTAGGCCGGGCCGGCAAGAGAAAAACTTTGTGACTGCTATGGTGTCTGGCGTGGATTCGTAGGATGAAAAATAAAGATAAAAAATTAGTGTGAAAACTTCAAGAAAGCAAGATGAGCTCTTTTGAGAAGGTTGTTGTCATTGACGGAAAAGGACACTTGTTGGGAAGATTAGCCTCCACTATTGCCAAGGAGCTTCTCAACGGCCAGAAGATTGTCGTTGTGAGATGTGAGGCTCTCAACATCTCTGGTGAATTCTTCAGAAACAAATTGAAGTACCACGACTACCTGAGAAAGAGAACTAGATTCAACGCCAACAGAGGACCTTTCCATTTCAGAGCCCCATCTAGAATTCTGTACAAGGCTGTCAGAGGTATGATCTCCCACAAGACCGCCAGAGGTAAGGCTGCTTTGGAGAGATTGAAGGTGTTTGAAGGTGTTCCACCTCCATACGACAAGAAGAAGAGAGTTGTTGTTCCTCAGGCCCTGAGAGTTCTGAGATTGAAGCCAGGCAGAAAGTACACCACTTTGGGCAAGCTTTCTTCCTCTGTTGGATGGAAATACGAGTCCGTCGTCGATGCTCTGGAAGAGAAGCGTAAGGTCAGATCTGCTGAGTACTACGCCAAGAAGAAGGCTCAACTTAGAAAGGTCACTGCTGCCAAGTCTGCTGTTGCTACATCTGAGGCCTCCACCAAGCTTGCTGCTCTTGGTTACTGATTGTGTACAGCTAAATAATAAGGGTTTCATATGACGAGAGTAGAATTTTCACATCTTTACACCGTGTTCATCGCCCTTGGTTCTTTTTCCGCGCGTCGGGGCGGACCGGCCGCAAGTTGGCGAGGTTAAACTGTTATTTTTTTTCTTTGCGTTTCCGTTTCCGCTCTCGTCCAGGTTTGAAAAATGTATCCGTCGCAAACCGGACTGGCTATGCACAAAAAAATCCACACCGGGACCTAACCGTTGTTATCAGGGGCAGAAGGGCCTTCTACTGAGATGCCGAAGAGTGCACAAAAACACCTCGCTTGAGTGGTCTTTCTTGAAATTTATGCTGCCGTTTCCAATGCTGCCACTGAAAATCGCATTCGAACGGCAGCTCCGGCTGTGAACGTCGCCAGCTCATTGCAACCATTCCCTGAATATGATAACTAAGTCCGCAATACAAAGACTCAGAAGATGCATTGGAGGCTATGTTTACCCAGGAGCGGTACCATGGCTAGCAGTGCGCTTGATCACAGCCCCAGGCAGCATAGCCTTCCTTATTGTGAAGCAGATCGACAATAAGGGTGATTTAGCACGGTACTTATGAAAAGTTCTTTTTTATTTTTTGGCGGTGAATAACTGGAGAAAGCAGAATAAATAAATGGTGGTGAAAAACGGATAATAGGCCTATTCCATCACCAAGAACGACAATTAGGAGTTTTAGAGTCTCTGAAAATGAAAGGTTTCTTTTGGCACCAAAAGTTTGTAGTTTTGGAGACACGATTTAGGTACGACGCGGTCTGAAAAAGGAACGGGTTACCCTACCGTTTCCTGTATATTTCCGATACAAACCGGATTCACCAACCAATCAAACGATCTTTTTGCACCGAAAAAAAAAGTGCGAAATTGATTTCGAAAAAATTGACAAGTATTTAAATTTGAACGAATCCTCTTTGCAACAGTTTTTCTTTTTAAGATTTCCGTAGAATCAATTAATTGAAAATGTCTGACCAATCCTCTTTCTTCGTCGACTTCATGATGGGTGGTGTCTCCGCCGCCGTCGCCAAGACCGGTGCCGCTCCAATCGAGAGAGTTAAGCTCTTGATCCAAAACCAGGACGAAATGATCAAGCAAGGTAGACTTGCCAGAAGATACACCGGTATTGGTGAATGTTTCAAGAGAACCTTGGCTGACGAGGGACTTGTTTCTTTCTGGAAGGGTAACACCGCTAACGTTATCAGATACTTCCCAACCCAGGCTTTGAACTTTGCTTTCAAGGACAAGTTCAAGAAGATGTTCGGTTTCAAGAAGGAGGAGGGCTACTGGAAATGGTTTGCTGGTAACTTGGCTTCCGGTGGTCTTGCTGGTGCCACTTCCCTGCTCTTCGTCTACTCTTTGGACTTCGCCAGAACCAGATTGGCTAACGACGCCAAGTCCGCCAAGGGAGGTGAGAGACAATTCAACGGTTTGATTGATGTCTACAGAAAGACTCTTGCTTCCGACGGTATTGCTGGTCTTTACAGAGGTTTCTTGCCATCTGTTGTTGGTATTGTTGTCTACAGAGGTCTCTACTTCGGTCTCTACGACTCTCTTAAGCCTGTTGTCTTGGTTGGTCCTCTTGAGGGTAACTTCCTTGCTTCTTTCTTGCTGGGTTGGACCGTCACCACCGCTGCTTCTACTGCTTCTTACCCATTGGACACTGTCAGAAGAAGAATGATGATGACCTCCGGTCAAGCCGTTAAGTACAAGGGCGCTTTCGACGCTTTCACCAAGATTGTTGCTGCTGAGGGTGTCAGATCCCTGTTCAAGGGTTGCGGTGCTAACATCTTGAGAGGTGTTGCCTCTGCTGGTGTTATCTCCATGTACGACCAGCTGCAAATGATCTTGCTCGGTAAGAAGTTCAAATAAGTGCTGAGATGAGTGTTCTTTGCTTGTTTCTAGATGCTTTATTCTTACCTTTGTAAGTACGTACAAAGTATTCAAATGTATCACTATCTGAGTAGACCGGTGTAAGGATGACAAAGCATTTCGAATCTCCATCTATTTTCAAGCCACTGTTTCCACCTAAAACCGCCCTTATTTATAATTTTCCCCTTTCGACCAAAGATAGCCACCCTAAATTTAATTTCATTTCGCCTGATCTGTCACATCTTCCCGACCATGGTCGACAACAAGACCTTCCTGTCCAAATTTCGCAAAAATCCCACCTCTTTCTCGTCCATCCCGCTTCTGACCAGGATCCGCACGAACGACACCTCGAAATCGGACCAGTCGACCATTTTCTCTGCGAATTCGGCAGAGACCGCAGCCACCGATGTATCAGTTCCCAAAAGGTTTTTCAGAGTGAGAACCAACTCGTCGACCAGCGAGCTGATGGTGCCAGTTGTGCCGCCTTCGCCCAAGAAAGATGCGGAAAAACTGCGTGAGATCAAAGACATTGCATTCGAAGTGACTCCCCGGAAGCCCCAGACGAAAAACGTCCATCCGCTGGACCAACCCATACTAGGCAGAAGACACACAGAACCCACAGAAACAAATACAGGCAACGACAACATCAACATTCAGAACGCAGCAGACTTACTAGTAGCTTTCGTGAGGTTTGTCATTCAAGCGGTGCAAGTGCTGTGGAACCTTGATCTTTTCATCAACGTCGCTCTTACAAAAGACACCACAACTCGCGTGCACGTGCCGTCTCTGGTCGTTGGGCTGCTGGTGGTGTACGTGCTCTGCTCCTCGTCTAGCCCACCGTACTATCCACAGGCCGTGCAACCCTCAGCAACGCCACGATGGTGGCAGTTTTTTTTCTTTGTGGCGGTGCTGGCCGTAGCGGTGGTGAAACTAGGCCAAACACAGGAGCCCGAGGTGAAACGCGCTGCACCAACGGAAAACGCCGCCTTTGCAGCACATGAGGAGGACGAGGATGACCTCACAAGAAGCGAAAGTTTCCGGTACGAAGGGTTCGTCCGGCGAGCGGCACGCTACGAGTAACGACTTACAGCATATTCATATAATTCTCATTTACCTTTATTAATTAACATTTATAAGGTCTCGGTTGGGATCTCGAAAGTGACTTGCTTTCCGGTCAACTTCTGGTAAATGGATTGGAAGGTGTCCAGCTTGTAGTCGATGTCAGAGGAGTCCTTGGAGTCCAAGAGAACCTTGGCGATTTTGTTACCACCAACAAGATATCTGACTCTCTTTCCAACGATCTCGGTTGGGAAGACCAAGTCCTCCAAGATCTTGTCGTGGACAGCAGTCAAGGTTCTGGATCTTGGTCTCTTCTGGGTCACTCTAGAAGTTCTTCCTGGCTTTGGCAAGATTCTTCTCTCGGCCAAGAACACAACGTGTCTGTCAGGGAACTTCTTTTCCAATTCTCTGGTCAAGGTGATTTGGACTTTGTGGAAAGCGTTGAGCAATGGGACTGGGACAAAAATGACAATAGCCTTTTTGTTACCCGAAACCTCAATCTCCTTGATGGACTTGAACTGGAGGGGTCTCAAGTCAGCCTTCAAATCTGGAGAGTTGGTTTCCAAATCGACCAAAGCCTGTGCGACTTGCAATTCGAGCTCAGATGGTTCGCTGGCGAGCACTTTCGATGCGGCAGACATACTACGTAAAGTTGGTTGAAGATTTTTTTTGAGACTGAAAAATTTATGACTTCAAGGGAAAGCACGTGACACACGGGAGGTCTCCGAGCCCGCTTTATGTAAGGAGGGGTTTCTCCCGCGTAGCACCCGGTGGTTGCAGTAGGCTATCGGGCGCTGTGACCACCGTGCCCACATATAAAGCATTCAGACTCTGCCGTATACGTTATGTCAACTGAAATCGCAAAGAAGAACGCCAGCTACGCTGCGGTGGACCAGAACCTCGACCCCTCGCACCAGGTCGTTGGAATAGGGTCCGGCACCACAATTGTGTATGTTGTAGACCGGCTGGCGCAGCTGGACACAGAGCGCCGATTGGTTTGTGTGCCGACAAGTTTCCAGGCGCGCGAGTTAATCCTCTCTCACGGCCTCCATTTGGGCCGTGTGGACGAGTACGTGGACATTGACATTGCTTTTGACGGAGCAGACGAAATTGACAGCGATCTGAATCTCATCAAAGGTGGCGGGGCCTGTATGTTTTTGGAAAAGCTGGTTGCCTCGTGTGCGCGCAAGTTTATTGTCGTTGCCGACCATCGCAAGAGCAGCGTAGCACTAAGCAGAGGGGTGCCGCTTGAGGTTGTTTCTGTTGCTCATCGGCGGCTGTTTTTAGAGCTGGAACGGCTAGGTGGCCATCCACGGCTGCGTGATGCCGGCGACCGCAAAGCGGGGCCCGTGGTGACAGACCACGGGAACTTGGTGGTCGATTGCGAGTTTGGCGAGATCCGCCCGGAGCGCGTGGCGGAGCTGGACGTGAAGATCAAGGCGCTGGTCGGCGTGGTGGAAACAGGCATTTTCCCCGGAATGGCGCACAAAGCCTACATCGGGCTCGAAGACGGCACGGTGCGCGTGCAGAAGCGACGTGCTGCCCTGTAGAATTCGTTATTTACCCCACACGTTTTTTTCATGACAGACAATGTTAAAAATTCGCCAAACAGCTTTTCTTTGTAAACGATTCAGCAGCATGGCAGACCTGGTGGAAAAATCGAAAAAGCTGTCGGCGTACGCGGCCGTCGACGACAATCTGTTACCGTCACACAGGGTGATCGGTATTGGGTCGGGCTCGACCGTTGTGTACGTTGCCGAGCGCGTTGGTCAGGCGAGCAACAAGAGCGACCTGGTGTGTGTTCCGACGGGTTTCCAGTCGCGGCAGCTCATCATGGACAATGGGCTCCGGCTGGGGTCGACCGAGGAGTACCCGGAGATCGACATTGCGTTTGATGGGGCGGACGAAATTGACAGCAACCTCGGACTGATCAAAGGCGGCGGCGCATGCCTGTTCCAGGAGAAGCTTGTGGCGGCATGTTCGAAGCAGCTGGTTGTTGTGGCAGATTACCGCAAGGACACGGGCGTGCTGGGCAAGGGCTGGCGCAAAGGCGTGCCAATTGAGGTGGTTCCGGCGGCATACACTAAGGTGAGCCTGGACCTGGTGAAACTGGGCGGAAAACCCGTTGTGCGTTCAGGGCTGCCGGCCAAGGCAGGGCCTGTGGTGACGGACAACGGCAATTTCATCATTGACTGCGACTTCGGCGAGATTCCGCCCGCCCAAGTGGCCGAGCTCAACGCGAAAATCAAGGCGTTGGTCGGCGTTGTCGAAACGGGGCTCTTTGTGGGCCGGGCTTCGAAAGCATACATCGGAAATGCAGACGGCACAATCACAAAGAAGACGGTGTAGAGTACAGCTATGTAGTCAATTCAAGTTGTGCTGGATCCAGTTCAGCACCTGGTTCAGCCCCGTGCCGTCAGTGGCCACTGTCGGAATAATGCACCAGTGGTGGTTCTTGATGGATCCCAGCTCCAAGAACTTCACCAGCTCTGCCTGCTCCATCCTGCCGGGCTTGTCCTGCTTATTCGCAAGTACGCACAGCAGACATCCCGTCAGCTCTCTGTCGTTGATCACCTTGTAGAGCTCTTTTTTCGCCTCCTCCAGCCTCGATCTATCGGCAGAGTCGATCACGAAAATTAACGCGTCCGTGCCAGAAAAATAGTGTCGCCAGAGCGCCCGGATACGCTCCTGGCCGCCGACATCCCACGTGTTCATCACGAGGTTTCTATATCTGATGGTCTCGACGTTAAATCCGACCGTAGGCACTGTCTGTTGAGTGTGTCCGAGTTTCAGTTTGTACAGTATGGCTCTCGTTAGTTATGGGAGATTTATAACTTACTGGTCTTTCCAGAGTTGTCCAGGCCAAGCATGACCATGCGGACCTCTTTGTTCCTGCGTCTCTGAGCGTTAGGCAGCGCGGGGAGTACTTACCAGTAGACGGGAGAATGAGTTGCCCATGGTTTTGCGTTTTGCTCAATCTGGAAAATTGTGCGGTCACGTGTAAAAAAAGATTTATTTAATTTCGGTGCTGAGACGGGTCGTCCACGACTATGGCGCAGGCCGGCCTGGCCTCCTATTCTGGCCGCCACGCGCACTGCCCACCACGAATGCACAGTGCTTTTCTCACAGTCGTGCTTTTCCATGCCCTGAGTGAGTTTCTACTTTATCTAGGAAATTATTTCCCCTTTAGGCAACTGAGAGCATGGTATCACCTCGATATCTATTGCTGCCAGTATATAAACAACGCACCTTGCACTCTTGTTCTTATGGCTGTCGTCGTTGAAGGAATCCACCGTCTCTATAGCGCAGCGCAGTCGCCTTCCTTCTGGGCCCTGGCGGCTCTTGCGCTGGCTGCTGCTACTCTGGTCTACAGATATCTTATCTCTGCTGAAATGGGCCCAATGTACCTAAAAAAGTATAAGCCCCTGCCGGTGGCCAAGGCAAACAACAAAAACAGAAAGTTTGGCCACTGGACACCAGAACAATTCACGTATCCTCCGGTTAAACCGTATCCGGAATGGTCGATTGAGAAGACCAAGCCGATCGCCTACCGGGCGTTCAAACACACCTATTTCATCACCATGGGCATCCGTAACATGGAGTGGGACAGCTGGATCGAGCTGGACAACGAGTGGCACAAGTACCACGCACGCAAGCTCCAGAGGCTCGAGGAAAAAAACAGCGATCTGTACGGTACGTCGCCAGATGCCTGGGACGGCGTGCTCGAGCTTTTGGAGGAGTTCCGCAACTACCTGCCCCAGAGGTATCCAAGCCTGTTCCGAAAAACACGTAAAGGCATTGAGAACCTCGAAACGGGCGAGTCGTTTGAGTTCATCGGCGTTCCTAAATCGGAGTTCAAAATGGACCCGGTCCTGATGGCCTCGCTGCTGGTCCAGGACGACCTTGCCGTGATGGTTGAGAATGAAAAGGGCGAGTATGTTCTACGCGCAGGCGCAATCATGCTGGCTGGGTTCTGGAGACTCAAAGATAAACTTGGAATGCCGTTGAGCATGATCCATACCAGCGGAGATGTGCCTAAATATAATGAGAAGCTCAAGGCAGGCATGGAGAAGTTCTTCATCAGACAGACCTGCGACAAGCCAGTTGTGCGAAACAACTACTTTCTCCAGGCAGACGACGATCTGGCTTGGTCGTACTCGATCGGAGACGAGTCGAAAGAGGTGGTCGGCTGGTACACTGCCAGCCCGGCCACCGACATCAATAAGATCTACTTTAGGTCCGAAAGACAGTCAGTCAGAAGACTGCCAAAAACAGGAGTCACAGTATTCACGATCAGAACGTATTTCCTGCCAGTTGTTAAGCTCTGCGAGGAACCGTTCGTTCCGTTGCGTCTGCTGAACGGAATAAGGAGCTGGGATAAAGACGTGCAGGAATACAGAGGTTATACGATATTCAAAGACGTTCTCATGCCATATTTGGAGAAGAAAGCCGAGGAACAGGCAAAACTGGGCTACACCCCTGATAAAGAGCCAAATAACTATCCGTACTGATGAGATATATTTGTTTAGTTTTATCTGTACCGATGAGCTATATTTATTCAACATTTATCTTCATAAATAAATTATCATGCTATGTATATGCTTCCGGTGGCCCGATCAGTTCTCATAATACTCAACATGCTTCTTCGCATAATCCATGGCATCGTTGACCTGCTGGTTGTTCAGACCGTGCCTGAACCGCAAGTGCCTTGTGAGAGCATCGCACCGAGAGAACGTCTTGTTGCTTAGAAACTCACCGTTGTCCATCGAGGACTTCAGCTTCTTGGAGTTGTGCGAGTTGGCAACGTTTGTGTTCGAATTCTCCACGGAAAACGGAGTGTTCCGGTAGTTTAGCTTCAAAACGATCTCGTTGTTCGACTCCATGTTGTTGCGTCTTCTCAGATCGTCCTCGCAGAACATACACCGATAGAACGACCGCTTTGGAGCATGGATCGTATTCTGGTGTCTCACGAGATCATATGGTCTTGAGAATTTCTTATTACATGGCTTTCCCGTCTTCGGATTAGCGATGTAGCAAACGTGCTCTTCCTCCTCTGCTTCTTTTGCTTCCTCCGTAGGAGGAGTGACCGTCCGACGCGACGATTTCAATTTTCTCAACGACGGAGCTGGAACCTTCTGGACTTCGGACTTGAGCACTGGTGGCCGGCGCTCGGAGAGCACACTTTCGCGTCTTTGCTCGAACGCTGGCGTGTACAAATCATCACTGGCATCCGAGTAGTTCTTTTCGTCATCGTCCATTTCGTCGTCATCATCAAACACTGCTGCGTTGTTATCCATGATATCGTCCTGCTGAACTAATCTTGGGTTGATGGTTTGCGGTGTAGTTAGCGAGTAGATAGAACTGTCGGTGTTTTCTGGAGTATTCGAGACCCGAAACTCGTCAGACTTCATCACGTAGTTGTCGTTTTCCTCGTCCAAGCTGCTTTCGCTGCTCAAGTCGTCCAGATCCATTTCCATGTCGTCCAGCTTGTTCTGGTCTTCTTCGTCCTCGTCATCGTCGCTGAACTCTTCATCTAAATACACGTCGTCGGTCTTGAATATGTTCAGCTCGTTAGACTGTGGGAACGACTTGTGATTGAATTCCCACTGCAGGATTTCCGGCAGAAATTGCTGTTCGGTATGAGCGGGGTCATACACTATGTAGTCGTCTTGAGGTATCAACATCACTTCTTGCTCAGGCTCCGACGGCTTGACATCTTGATGCGGCGTGTTCATGGCTGCTTTCGGATCGATATTTTCATGTTCGTCGTTGGAGTATCTGTAGTTGTCCAGTTGAGCGTAGTCGTATAATTCGTCAGGGAAGGTAACGTTGGCATAAAGATTCGGATTTGCATAGGAGTTGTAGATATTGTCGTAAACAGACTGCTGATGCGGTGGTAAACCAAAACCCGATACCTGATCCTGGACGCTGTGGGCTATGTTTTCGTCTTCCCCTTGTCTGAAAGACTCTTGTGATCCGTTCAACATGATGTACTCCGAAATATCATCCTGGCCTTGTTGAGGCAGCGAGTAGAGCTCGTCTTCCATGATATCCGTAAGAGTGCGCTTTAATGTAGAGGTCATAGTGAGCAATGAAAAGCTGAAACAGCAAAAAACTTATTAATTATTTCCGAAGGGTTCTGTTGAGTGTTTTGTGTATTATTAATCAGTGTGCAAATTTTGCAAATAAAACCTGTTGGCCCAGTTGTGAATTTCTATCAGGTCGGTAACCTTCAACTGGCTTGGTTAGTGTGGCTTGGAAGTTGTGTAGTTGTCTTTTTTTTTATTATCTTATAGCTACCCCTCAGATAGTTGTAACAAATGGGGATTCGGAACCTTGGTTATGATTCTAAACGTTGCTTTGAGTCACAGCGCAATACCAATAGGCTTTAATGTAGTGTAGGAAAAAGGGTAAGAAGAACTTCTCACTAAGTTTGAATCTAATTTATTTGTACGTTTGTCTTTTTGACTCACCGCTAAAATGACAGCCCCAACTTTGCTGCGCTAACTCCAGCCTGGCTGCTTTGTAAATCCGGCGCCATTTGTAAGCCGACCTCGATCTTTCTAGAATTATCTCGGTGCGAGGTGGGAGTCCTCCGGGACCGACGCGTCGATTCTGCAGAGAAGAAAAACCGTATTCAGAAAAATTCGGCCTTTCTTTACTGCCGTCTCCAAAATGCCTGTACAGAGCACACATCCGGCCGAAAATTTGTCCGACTTGGTGAGCGAGGACGTGCGCGCGGTCCTGCTAAAAGCGCCGCCGACACTACTCATAGAAGATCCCGTGTACCACAACCGACTCACCGAACTGCGCAACGACTACCGATATGCCTATGTGGTCCAGTGGATTTATCTTCTGCGTCATCTCGTGAAAATCACAGAGAATTTCGACGTGGAGACGTTTGAGGAGGAGCTGCTGGGCATTGCGAGCCCCGTGTTTGTGAACGCCTTTGTCTCCCGGATGGTCCAGTATCTGGCCAATTTCAAGGTGGAGAATTTTGATTCGCAGGTCAACGACGCGTTGAACCAGGTCTCTGCACGCTACTATGAGGAGTATGATCCAATAGATTTTTTTGCGCTTGATTTAATCGGCAAAACCGAGCTATTTTACAACCTGACCCAGCTGGCCAATACCAAAAGCATAGATAATTTCCGCAAGAGCGTGGACCAGTACGCCAAGCCACAACACGATTTGCGGCTGGAACCCGTGTACGCGTACACAGAGGACCGCGAACTGAACGAGTGGTTTGTGTTGGAAGACTCACGTGTTTATTATCGCAAATCAGAGTATCCCCCAATGGAGGTGCCCAAAAAACGGGCGGACGCGAAAAAGAGAATTGGCAATCCTGCTGAGACGTTTGGCGATATTGAGCCGGTGCTGGTGGAGTGGCGGTGCGAGACGGCTGGGATTTACCAGTTTGATCAGTATTTGAAGGAGCTGAAACAGAAAGGCGGCAAGAAAACGTCGTCACATGAGTACAAGCTGTACGGGAGTCTGAAAAGGTTTGTGGAGCAGGTTGCTCAGCACGACCTGAAGAAAAGACGGCAAGCGTTGCAGCGGAGGCGCGAAATTCAGATGCAGGCGTTGTTGGCCAACAGAAAACGCTCTTCTCGGCTGGAAGCCAAAGAAAGACAGAAACAAGAGGAGGACGAAAAGAAACGGCAGGAAGAGGAGCGATTACGGGCACATGGTGCAGAGATGCGGGCCCAGAAGCGCATGAAGCTCAAAGAGGAGATGTATCAAGCGTCCAGGACAGAGAGGCTGCAACGGAGACACCGGGAAACTGAGTCATCAGAGTCGAAAGACGTGACTAAGGAGGATACGACACAGGGTGCTAAGCCGAATGTTCACGAGGCGCATGATAATGCTAGTGACGATACAATAGATGAGCAATCAGAAGGCCAAGAGTCAGCCGCGCAGTCGCCTATTGTGGAAAGAGCCACCATTGAGGTCCCCGGCCGTATCGACGCGGCGCAAGAGAGATAACAATGTGGATTAATAATATCATGCGGCTATAACTGAGAGGTGGGAGGAGTGTCGCACATAACATTTACTTCCGGAAGTTTGGCCGACAGCTTCGGGCTTCGGCACTCTCCCAGTATAATGTTTACGAGGTACCTAAGTGCCAAATAATGCATAGCGTAGATGATAGATTATAAATACAATTTATATTCCAGTCGCTTCTGAATTTCTCTCCACATGAAAAGACGCTCGATAGAGGTGAAGAAATCCGTCCCTGTCTCCTGTCTGGAGTGTCGCCGCCGCAAGATCAAATGCGACCGCGGGGTGGTTTGTAAAAACTGCGAGCGCAAAAAGCTAACTTGCGAGTATCCAGAAACCTTTAGATCGATTAAAATTTCGCCACCGGAACCAAAATTAGGAATTGTGGAGGAGGAGGAAAAAGAGGTTTCCGATCTGGAGAAGCTACGCAAGCAAAACACAAAGTTTGCTAGCCGTATTTTTGAGCTCGAAAAGAAGGCTGTAGAGCGGGCCGATGCCGCACCCAAAAGCTACATCACTGTGCCTTGTTTCTTCGATAGTCACATGACACTGGTCACGAGCAGGCCAGTCGAATTGCCGAAACTACTAGACGACCGTGTGCTCAATGTGCATTTGCTGAACCATCTCGTGACGTGTTTTTTCGACCTCAACCAGCACCTATATTTTGAGCTCGACAAAGATGACTTGCTTGCCGGCATGAGAAGCCTCGACGCGTCGTTTCGGAGCATGGAGATGGTGATGCTGATCTGTGCTATTGGCCTAGTCGTGCTGGACTACAGTTACGACCCAAAACACAGGCGTCTTGTCGACTTCGACGCGACTGTCGAGAGGCCTGTAATGGTGTCATCGCTGCTCGCCAAGATCAGGGACTACCGTCAGCTTACCAAATACTCTCGCGGCAAAACCAAGTTTGTGGCCTTGTGGCTGTTTATGGAGACCCGATTTGCTGAGCGCGACGAATCGCTCTCAATTTCGACAGAGGTGTTCACCACCTACTCGCACCATCCAGAGGTCGCTTCCCTCCTCCGGAAATTCGATAATCTCTTTGTGCTAAAGTGTCTTGTGATGGACATGCATCCGGCCATGTCGCAATGTTTTGAGCAGCTGAGGACGTCTGACGAGAAATTCAACCCGCAGACCTACTTGGAGGCCGAGCAGACAAACCCAGCAGAAGACTTCATGTCGCTTGTGGTGCGTGTTCTGGACTCCAAACTTAATCTGAGAAAGGACAATTACCTGATTATGGAGGTGCTATTCAAAACCCAGAAAAAAGAGTTTGATATTCAGCATCTTAAAGAAAAGAGAAAATTCGACCTTGACAATTACGACCAGATTAACTCATTACTGGTTTCGCAGATGAAGGTGTTGATGGTGTTGTATTACTGCGGCCTGAAACTCAGGTTTTTCCAGAAGCCATCCGACTACCAGCTGGAGTCTATGGTCAAGCTGCTGAACCATCTGCTGGAAATGAGCATCTGGAGCGACCTCGAATCGAGCACCAAGCAGTGTCTACCTGTGCGCAACTTTGTCGTGATGATTCTGGGAAACCTGCTCGACATGTTCAACTCGATGTTGTACCACAGAAACATTAACATCAAAATGTTGAAGCTGATCCTCTCCAAATTCGAGGCCATTTCATGCCACCATTTTATCGACACCGACCTGCTGGACATTGCGGCCGCCAAGATCAAGATTCTGGCCTCCGATAAGAACACTGGCTCCAGTGTACCGTTACTGTACGGTTCGGAGGTTCTTCTCCGCGAACGCATCGAGGTCTCCAAGTTGCAGGTTAGACCAGGTTCCGGTGCTCTGCCCGTCGCTAATAATTTTGCGCTGGACTTTTCACGGAACGAGACCATCAACTTCGCAAGGTTCCTGGGCGAGGACGAAAACGGCACATATGAGGACCAGGCCGAGTCTCCGTCGTCGCTTGGGGACAACGGCGAATTTACGGACCCTGTGGGAAAAGAGTTTGCAACCATTTTAACTCAGGACCAAAACTTTGCGGACTACTGGCTGGGAGCTCCTTCCGAGATCGGCAAGTCGCTAGACGTGACCGACTTGACCCTGGGGGCGCCATCGCCAAGCAAAACGTCCAGCTTCTTCGCATCGGAGCTGGAGCCATTTCCCGTGAGCGACTCGCTGAAAAAGCCGGTAATGGAGCTCAACGGCTACTATCAGTTTATGGATGTTGAGTGATTCGTGGATCGAAACCAACTTGTACATACGCCGATGCCATGAGTCCCGTTTGGTTTGTTACGTTATGACTTATAATACCATTGATGATCTCTCTATTGCTTAAATCCTTTAACGAGATCCACATCTTTAAGGTCGCCGACCTGAGAATCGGCCTTTCTGTCTCGCAGAGGGCTTTCCAATTCGATCTTGGCCGGCGACCGGTTGTTCGTGGCGCCTGACTGCATGCTGTTTTGCTGCTGGTTGCCGTTCGACGAGGGGCCGCCCAGCGGTGTGGAAAACTGCACGTAGTTCCACAGTGCCGGCGACGAGTTGACCGACGGGTGCGATTGCGACGACGAGGGTGGGTCCAACTGGTGGCGCGACGTGCCTCTGTCGGGCGTGTAAGCCTCCAAAGCGCTAACCTGGTATTTTTTCGGACTTGCTGGCGGGAACAGGGCATTGCCCGATGAGGCAGGTGCATTGGTGGCCGGAGGCTTGATCGCGGAGCTAGGCGTTTCCTGAGATGCCGTTCTGCCGGCCAGAGGCGGGATCGATCCATTAAAGTTGGACCTGTACTCGGGGACGCCCAGCTGTTTGATAGGCGAGGAGAGTTCCGGCTTGGGCACCTGATTAGGGACGGAGGACGTGCCCGACGTGGAGCCTGGAGCACTGCTTGGGGGGATGCTACTGTTGGACAAGCTTGCTGCTGCAGTGATGTAGTTCAGGGCCTCGTGGGGCTCGGAATGCAGGGGCGCAGCGGAGTTCAGTTTCGCCTCGTAATACGGTTGCTCGGGCCGTTTGTACATGTTGAAATCTGCGGTCGGGTTTGTGGCCGGGATGGCCGAACGGCCAGAGTCGGGCAGGCCTCTGTTTTTTATAAGATGCATCTGGAGTTGTCTGGAAACGCTGCTTCCTCTTTTCACTTTGTTTAGAGTTCCTTCCTCCCATTTTTTCAGGAACTCTTTCCTGTAGCTCTCGCTGATCTGCCACTTCATGCCCTTTCCGGGCTCGTTGGGCTTTCTAGGCACTTTCTCAAACGCCTTGTTGAGCGACAAATTGTGTCTGATGGAGTTCTGCCACCCTTGCTTGCTGTGCCTGTAATAAGCGTAATGGCTCGCTATCCAGTCGTAAATCTCCGACAGCGACAAGATGCCTTGAGGATTAGACAGGATCGCCTGTGTGATCATTGTGGCATACGAGTACGGCGGCTTGAGATCCTTGGCGTCATCTTTGGAGTAATCCTGCTCCGAGCCCTTGATGGTGTGCCCGGGAGACGAGAGATCGTTGGGCGCGGGCGACTTCTCGTATATTTGGAAACCCTTGACGTTGTTGTTGGTGTAGATGTCGGTGGAGTAGAGCGACGCACTCGAGTTGCTGAAAACGTCAGACTTGGGCCGCTTGTTCTTGAGGTTGGAAAGGAAGTAGTTGGAGATCACTGGCACGGCATCGGGCAGAATGAACATCATCTGGGTGCCGCCAATGTCGATGATGTTGCCCGAGTTGAGAAATATGGGCCCCGAGCCGTTCGACGTGGAGTTGATGCGCTGGGCGTCGATCTTGAGCCCATTACGCCCCAGAATCACGAGCTCCCACCTTCTTTCCTCTAGATTGTACGAGATCGACGCGTGTTTTCGGGAAACCACCTTCGACGGCCCCAGATCGATGTCGACCTTGTCCTCGGCCCGGTCCGTGGCGTGCGAGTCGGTATTACGGCCTATAAGCACTTTCAACGATTTCACATAGAAGGTCCAGTCTCTGCCGGCAATCTTGGCGTACGCCTGGACCTCGTTGTTTAGATTCCGTTCGTTGTTGTACACGCGTGAGACGGTCGTCGGGATATTGTCTGGCGGCACCGTGAGGTTTTTGATTACCTGGTTAATGAGGTCGTTGGGGTCGTCAAATACCTGTATTTGTTAGTAAAATCCCGCTGCTGGTACTCACCTCATTATCCTCATTGATGAACCTTTTTCTTTCGCTCATGCTGCGCTTGTCAGAAAACACTTGTGGGCCAATCAGGTGCTGCGGACCAACAAATACGAGAGCTGTGGCACTTGATTAATTTTTGTTTTTATTTACAATGCTTTTTATTTTGTCAACACAGCTGGAAAATTTTAGTCGCAAACTACTTTTTCTGAAAATCCAACGGAGACTCGAACGGATTTGATCCGTTGTCCTTCACGTCCAGATCCACCTCCAAGATCACCTCGTTGCTGTCGGCCCGTCCCAAGGTCTCCAGCGGAATGTCCAGCGAAACAGTGTCGCCGCCGGCCTGTGCGTGGTGCTCCTGCTCTTTTCTGTGCTGCGTCGTGAGAAATTCGATGTTCTCCTCGTCAGAGTCACCCAGATCCGAATCGTCACTGCTCCCCAGCACGTCGTCGTTGCTGCGCAGCAACAGCGGACCAAACCCGAGCGGCGTGCCTCCAGATGTCCCGGTCCGCGAGTCTGTCCTGGGCTCGTCCTCGTCCTCGTCCTCGCCTTCCTCGATCGTATCCTCCAGCACGAACCGGCTCTTGGGCGGCTCGTACTCATAAGCGTCCTCCTCGACATTCACCAGCCGCGGCACACCGCCCCTGGTGACCACGTTGCCTCCATGGATCGAGGCGGCCTCCAGATCGCTATAATAAGTCTCCTTCGAGTATACACTCAGGGCGCGGTTGCTGCCGTTCGAGGACCCGCCTGCACGGCTGTTTGTGAGCTTGGCGCTGCCGTTGCGGATCGTCACGCCTGGAATGTAGGTCACGTTGATCACGTTCGACGCTTTGGTCAGCACGGAGTTGGTCATCGTTGTGAGCGTTGACTGCGAATTTCGCCGCTGTCTCGGGCCCCCCGTGAGTTGTTCCTTGTCGTCCTCGTCTTCGTCATCTTCCTCGTAGTAGTAGAAGAAGCCGTGTGGGTACCGTTTCTTGTACCACTTTTTGTAGAGCAGGTAAAACAGGCCGCACAGGATCAGAAACACAAACGCGGCCACGCCGCCTGCGATTCCGCCCACTTTCGCCGAACTCGGCCCTTTCGACACGGCCTGCGTGCTGGACGCGGAGGTCAGGCTGGATGTGATGTTGGCACAGTACCGTGTGGGACAGGTGGTGCAGGATCCGGACGACTGCGCACATTGTTCGGTGGAGTCGCACGCTGGACACGCAGGCAGCGAGGGACACGAGACGCACTCTGTGGAGTTGTCAACGCGCTCCTGAAGACGTGGCACGACCTCGTAGTATATGCCGTCGTACGGGTTGTAGATGTACTCCATGGATGAGGCGAGAGAAAATAAAATAATTATTTTTAGCTGGCAGGGCAGGCCGGAGGCGGGTGTGCGACGACAAGGGCCTGTTTGCGCAAAATTTCGGCTGATACGCCGTTCTAGTATAGTGGTTAGTACTCTTGTTTGTGGCACAAGCGACCCAGGTTCGATTCCTGGGGACGGCAGGTTTTACTTCTTTTTTTTTTTGTCCATTCCATTATCGTCTATCTATCTGATGCTGCTCATGATTCCGTAGCCGACGGTGATGATCACCACAAACATCGCGAGCGAGATCGGCACACCGCGCGAAATAAACAGGCTCGTCGAGAGATAGCGTTTGCCCAGGTCGTCGGTCATGGAGATGGCGATCGAGTTCGGGAAGCCCGACATTGGCAGCGCCATGCCGACGCTCGCAATGAGCGTGATTCCGCACACGAGCAGGAACCCCTGGTCGAGCTCTTGCCCGACGGACTGGACCAGCGGAATCAGAATCAGTGCCGAAACGGTGTGCGACACAAACGTTGCAAACACCACGCACAGCACGCCGAAGATGGCCAGTATCGCGATCGGCGGGTACGTGTGGATTCTGTCGGAGAGGGAGGTGGCGATGGTGTGGAGCAGACCGGACGAGCTGACGGCCTTGCCGAGCGCGATGCCGCCCATCGCGAGCAGGACGATCGACCAGGGGTAGTTGTTGACGTCCGTGGTGGTGAGCAGGCCTGTTCCGTAGAAAGCGATGATCGGCACGATCGAGATGATGCCGGACGACCCGAGTCGCGACTCGAGTTGCGACTCGAGACACCACAGCACAATGGTGAGCACGGACACGAAGCAGATGTAGTACTGTTTGAGGGTGAAGGCGGTGCGTATCGGCTTGATAGGCTTGATTTTCACGGTGTTAATTTTGAACGTGAGAATCATCTCCAGCCACACCAGGAAAAGCCCAATCAGACACAGAGGGATCGAAAACGAGAACCAGTTACCCCAGGTCGGGTGTGGCTCGAGTGCCTCGATGGCGATGATATTTTGCGGCGACGAGATCGGCGTACTCATGCCGCCCACGTCGGACACGAGCGCTATGCCCAGCACGAGAGCCTTCGCGAAGCCAGACTCGGTGGGAATGCTCTTGAGCAGCGGGCCGATCAGCGAGTACGCGAGCACGGGCGCGGCAACGTTCGAAATCCACATCGACAGAAATAATGCCACCACCATGATGGCCAGCAGGATGCGGCGCGGCGACGTGCCGGCGAAAAACAAAATGTACGACGACGCGATGCGCGCGATGTTGTACTTGGACAGCGCGGCCGCGAGCGTGAAGCCGCCGATCAGCAGCATGATCGTGGAGTTCCACATCGTGCTGAAGATGTAGCTGGTCGCGTCCGCGGCGCCCATCACCTCGCCCGTGTCGGCGTCCTTGAGCACGTTGCACGTGACCACGAGGAACGGCACGAGCAGCGACGTGGCAAACAGCGGGATGGCCTCTGTGGCCCACAGAATCGCGCATACGGCCACCACGGCGAGACAGTTGCCCTGCGTGCGGTCGTTGAGCGTCTTGACGCCGAGCAAGATGCCGCCCACGAGAATCGTCAGCGCGATTTTGAACGCTGTCCAGCCAAACAGAAACTTCGGCACGCCCAGCCGGAAGGGCAGCCACGAGACCTCTGTGCTGTACATCTCGACCTGGAACATGCCCTTGAGCTCTGCCTCGTCGCCCGTCAGCACGCTCGAGCCCTTGGCATTGTGTTTGTCCTTCTCGATACCGATCATCTCTTTCCACACAGTGCTGCGCTCGAAAACGATGTGTTCGCGCAGATGGCTGCGCAGAAACGCCCGCGCAGCCTCGATCGAGTCCTGCGTCACGCCAGCATACACCTCCACCAGCTCGTCGAGATAGTCGTCGATCTTGACGAGCGTGGCCGTACTGAACACCTCGGACCGGGAGCTGAGCGACTCGACAAAGCGCTCGCGGATGTGCTGCTCCAGCACCTTGTCGAACTTCTTGCACACTTTGCTGAAGCCGATCTTGTTGAGCTCGATGAAAGACTTGAGCTCCGACAGCTCAATGAACGCCTGCACAATGCGCTTTTTGTAGCTCACCTCATGCTGGAACGAGAGGTTCAGCTCGCGGTCGCTCAGCAGCGTCGAGAACGCCGTCGTGCTCTCGAGGTCGTCCTCGTCGTCGTCGCCCGCGTCGCGCTCGACGTCCTTGCTGAACCGGTCCAGTCTGTCGTTGGTCTTGATCCTCTGCAAATCGTCCTGCGTCTCCTTGTAATAATGCAGATCCTTGAGCAGCCGGTCGATCTCGCTGAAAATCACCTTCTCCTGCGCAGTGTAGAAACGGTCGATCTTGCTCAGCTCCTTCAGCAGAGCCGTCTCAAACACCTTGGTCGGCGAAACCTTGTCCAGATCGATCTTTGCCAGGTCTAACGTCTCCTGTTCCGAAATCGACTCGAGCTCGAGAGTCTCGGTCGTGGCCTCCTCTTTCTTGCGCCTCAATGAGCCTATCTTGTCCATGAGCGACACCTTCCACTTGGCGGCCCCAGAAAGCTCCAGCCCGGCCAGATTGGACCGCACGTCGTTGTCCGACGTGTGCGACGTGGCCAGCTTCGAGGAGGCCGTGTTGGAGTTGTCGTTCTCCAGCACGAGCTCCTGCAGCTCGTAGATAAGCTTCTTGAGCGCCGAATACGCCAGATAGTGCTCCTTCCACTCAGGAACAGCGTTGAACTGCAGCGAGTGCGAAAACTTCATGGCGCAGTACTTGGCACTAAAACTGAAATGGAAATTGGTCACACGAGCAACGGTTTTATGAAGGCGGGTAAAAAAAAAAAAAAATGGCTGCCCACGTGTGTCTAATTAATTAATTGATCAATCGATTAGATTTTGCGCCGCGTCGCCAGAACATAAGTCGATTCGTTATATAAGCCGTTACGTAACAGGCATACCGGCCCTAGTACTCGTAGTTGTCGCCCTTCTGCATGGGCATCGGAGAATACACCTGCTGCATGTACTGCTGCTGGTAGCGCATCTGGTAGTCCGGGTCCATCGGGCTTTGCAGGTTCGCAAGGTGCTGAGAGTGCTTCTTGCGAGGCTTCTCCTCCTCGCGAGGCACAATGTCGATGAGAAAGTCAAACATGTCGCTTTTTTGCAGCGCCGCCGCGATGTCGGACTTCTGCAGCGTTCTGCGCTTGTGCTCCTCGGCGTGGATCCACGCCCGCATCGTCAGCTCGGTGATGAAGATGTCGCAGCCCTTTGCGAAGAGGATCGGGGCCTCTGCAGAGATCATCTTGACCTCCTCGTCGGTCTTCATCACTTTCTTGATCCGCGCCAGCGGGAGCTGGTGGTTCTTGAAGTCGTGGTTATCGTGCTCGATCGAATTGATGGTTTCCTGCCAGTATTGCATCATCATGTTTTTGTACTTGCCGCTCAGGCCTTGTCCCACGTTGCTGAACGCGCCAGACGGCCCTCCGAACTCGTCCGAGTCGTCCTCTGCGTCGTTCTCTTGCTCGTTGTCGACCTCGCCGTTCTCGGGCGAGAGCTCTTCTTCCAGATCATCCGAAACGCCTATGCCCTCCTCGTCTAGGTGGGCCGGCATCTCGCTGTAGCGAGCCATGGCGTACTGCTGATCTCCAAATTCCTCGAAGGCCATCAAGAGGTCCGAATGGGTGTTTTTAAGGAATATTTTGCAATTATTTCAAATTAATTATTTCCGTTTCAATGCCCAATCCGTTCGAGTCGTTTTCGTCTGTGCGCCCAAAACAACACAAACAGACGTTCGACGAGCTCTACGGCGAGCCAGAGAACTTTTTGGAGCTCGAGGTGGTCAACCCGGTCACCCACGGCAACAAGACGACCAATATGTACACCGACTACGAGATCGTGTGCCGGACCAACATCCCCGCGTTCAAGAAAAAGTACTCGCGGGTGCGCAGACGGTTCAGCGAGTTCGACGCGTTCCGCAAGATCCTCCAGCAGGAAACCACCCGCGTGGTGATCCCAAAACTGCCGGACAAGTCGCTGCTCAATTACAACAACCGGTTCGACGACGACTTCATAGAGGAACGCAGACAGGGCCTAGAGCGGTTCCTCAACATCGTGGCGGGCCATCCGTTGCTGCAGACTGGCAGTCCAACGCTCATCAGATTTATCCAGGACGAGAAGTGGAGATAGGGTACGGTCAATCGCTCGCGGAGGCAATTTCCAGGATGGGTGCGCACTGACCCTGAGGCGGCCGCAACGCCATGTCCTTCATTATATAATTAGCAATGATGATCGCATAACGAACTATCGATTGATACTATTGAATAATACTACTGAATAATCTACCAAGTAGTACCCCTTGCTCTCGAATAATAATACTTTGCTGCATTCAACATTTTCTAAGAAAATCTTTATCCATTGCCCCTCAATTGCTATGGCCTCCCAATTAAAACTGGGACAATTAATTAATCGAAGCACCAAACTAGTTTCTCTCAGATATTCTTCATATCTTGCTCCTAGACCAACTTTAAGCTACAGACCAGCTCTTTGCCGTCCTATCATAAACAATAAAATGGGACTCGTCACTATCTCCAACTCCATCAAAGACGCTCTGACAAAGAGCGAGGTGGTTCCAACGGTGATCCATTCCGACTCCTTCACTCCTAAGGGCTTTCTGATCATCTCCTACGGCCAGGACAAGGAAGTCGCCATGGGAAACACCCTATTGGTGAAGGACACTCAACGCAGACCAGACATGGCCTTTACACTCAACCTCTCTAAAGACACTGACCCGGACTTTTCGATTTCGAGCTCCGACAGATTTACTTTGGTGCTCACCGATCCAGACGCACCAACAAAGGGCGATGAAAAGTGGTCAGAGTACTGCCACTACGTTGTGAAAAATATAAAGCTTAACGACTTCGACCCTAACAAATCTGTCGATATATCCCAAATAGAGGAACAATTGACCACGTCGAACCTCAATGGCGAAGACCTCATCCCCTACATGGGTCCTGCTCCTCCACCAAAAACAGGCAAGCATAGATACGTGTTTCTGCTGTACAAGCAGAAACCAGGGGTCGAGCCGGAAGCTCCAGCAGATCGCCCTTGTTGGGGCACGGGTGTCCCCGGATGGGGTGCCGAAGAGTGGAGCCAGAAAAACGAGCTTCAATTGCTTGCTGTCAACTTCTTCTACGCACAGAACGAGGAGCAATGATTACGTAATCATGGCACGTATTTTTTATGTTGTTAAGCCTGGAAGCGGGACCAATATATGGTGGTATTGAGCATACAAACACGACTGCCAAGGCAGTTCGGAATTGATGGCCGTAGTTTGTAGGATGCCGGGGGCGCCGGTTGCGAAAATAGAGGGTGTCGTCAGCGGTATCGAATCCGGGGTACCTACACCCCCTTTCCATTTTCCCCGCCGATTTGATGCTATTTTCGCACCCCCTAGTGGCTGTACAGCGCACTCCGGAAAGAGATGGAACAGCTATAAGAGCTGTCGTTCGCCGGAACGCACAAGGGCAATGACGAGCACGGAGATGCCAGCTGCATACTACTAGCAACGGAGACGGAGTCCTGGCAGGAAATTTTTTCGCGACCAATCATGACCCGGAAATGCAGCGGGGGTGTCGGTACAAGTAGTGGGGTGTCTAAAACGGGGTATTTCATGCAGGTTGGAAGTTTTTAGCCCGTTGTGATTGGGTGTCTAGATATGCCGCAGACGTATATCGACGTCCACCTCTCAAGAATTTATATCGCTGGAAATCCAGCTGGTTCGCAAAATCAGCACCAACCATGATGTCTATTTCGAGAGTTGCTGCATTGAGAAACCAATTTGCTCGTCTAGCCAAGCCGGCTGTAGTCCAGCAGGTCTTCAGACACTCCACTGCCTCTGCTCCAACCATCCCAAAGACCCAGATGGGATGTGTTTTTGAAACCAACGGCGGTCCAATTGAGTACAAGGAGATCCCAGTTCCAAAGCCAAAGCCAAACGAGATTCTGGTCCACGTCAAGTACTCTGGTGTGTGCCACACCGACTTGCACGCCTGGAAGGGTGACTGGCCACTGCCTGTCAAACTCCCACTTGTGGGTGGTCACGAGGGTGCCGGTGTTGTCGTTGCCAAGGGTGAGAACGTTAAAAACTTCGAGATCGGCGACTTGGCCGGTATCAAATGGCTGAACGGCTCGTGTATGGGTTGTGAGTTCTGTCAACAGGGTGCCGAACCAAACTGTCCTGACGCCGACCTTTCCGGTTACACACACGACGGTTCTTTCCAACAATACGCCACTGCTGACGCTGTCCAGGCCGCTAAGCTGCCTCCAGGAACTGACCTCGCTGCTGTTGCTCCAATTTTGTGTGCTGGTGTGACTGTTTACAAGGCCTTGAAGACTGCTGCTTTGCGTCCAGGTCAGATTGTTGCTATTTCCGGTGCCGCCGGTGGATTGGGTTCTCTTGCCGTTCAATACGCTGTCGCCATGGGTCTGAGAGTTCTGGGTATTGACGGTGGTGAGCAGAAGGGCGAGTTCATCAAGAAGCTCGGTGCCGAATTCTACGTCGACTTCACCAAGGAGAAGGACATTGTGTCTGCCATCCAGAAGGTCACCAATGGCGGTCCACACGGTGTCATCAACGTGTCTGTGTCTCCAGCTGCTATCTCCCAGTCTTGTCAATACGTGAGAACCCTCGGTAAGGTTGTTCTGGTTGGTCTTCCAGCCGGCGCTGTTTGCGAATCTCCTGTCTTTGAGCACGTCGTCAAGTCCATCCAGATCAAGGGATCTTATGTTGGTAACAGACAAGACACTGCCGAGGCCGTGGACTTCTTCACCAGAGGCCTTGTCCGTTCTCCATTCCAAATTGCCGGTCTTTCCGAGCTGCCTGAGGTCTTCAAGAAGATGGAGGAGGGCAAGATCTTGGGTAGATATGTCCTTGACACTTCTAAATAAATGACTATATTCCAAACAGATTCAATAAAATCACAAGGTAAATAACTGGTCCGGCCCAAAAATTAAATCATTTCAAATAAATATTTGTTGGAAATAAATCATTAAAGTTAAACCATTGCTTGAACCATCTGTGTTATTTATATACCATTGCGTCCCTCTTCATTTCTTCCCTCCCATCCAATTGCAATGAATACAGACGTGGAGTTTTGGGAATTCCGCAAGCTGCATGACAAAAACGACACCCTGCTGGACAAAGTCGAAAAACAGTGTTTTCGATACGCCCTGCCCAATTTGCCGCTGTGGGGGCCCCTGGCGCCCGCGCACGACTGCACAACGCTGCGCGCGCTCATGGGCTTTGCCCAGTCCTACGTCGGCGCCGCGCTGATTATGCGCATCCCCCGGCTCAGAGGCCTGCCTGCTTTCCGTCGCTACTCGTCCTCGCTCGCCCGCATAGTGCTCGGGTCCGCCTTCTTTCTGGGCGGCTCGCACGAGCTCAGCTATGCGTGGAGGCCATACGAAAACCCGCTTTATGTGGAAACCTGTCTTGCAAGAGACAAGGCCATGCAGGATGGCGAGGAGAGCACGTACTGGCTGGGCCCGAAAAACTACATGCCCATGACCATCTCGCAATACGTGGACCTGCTCTGGATGCAGTATCTGACGCGTGCTGACGTCGAGAAGGTGATGCGGTCCAAAATCATGGCCAAGTTCAACCAGTATCACGAGAAATATGCCGAGTCGCTCAGAGACACGGCCACGCTGGGCTCGCGTGTGCAGCGGGTGATCGACCAGCCGGCACCTAAACACGCCATCAGCAAGGAGGAGGTCAGCTCGATCATTGGTGCGTTCCACACGGACGAGGACCTCACGGACCCAGACGTGGTGGAAAAATTCTGGTTCGAAAACCACCCCTGGATCAAGCTTCAGGTGCTCACCAATACCATGTACCTGGCGTCGAACATTCCGCGCGTGGCGCGGCCGGCCGAACAGCCAGAACAGCCCGATGGATCAAAAGACGCAAAACTACTCTCTGAAAATAACGAATAACTGTATAACGGATCTATAATCTATTAGAACCTTCTGTTTCCCAATGGCGCAGAGTTGCTTCCAGAAAAACCTCTCGAGCCGCCTCTTCCTCCACGGCCACCTCTGCCATAGCCACCACGGCCTCTACCGTATCCTCCGCGGCCTCTGCCATAACCGTATCCGTTGCCTCTGTTGCCCTTCTTGTCCAAAGCCTGTAATTGCGGAGGAATCTCTTGCTTGGCCTCTCTCAGAATGGTGATGAGGTCGTGGGCCTGGCCGGAGTTGCTCTCCGTGAACAAGGTGATGGCTGTTCCTTTCTCGCCAGCACGTCCCGTTCTTCCGATACGGTGGACGTAGTCCTCGACGTTGCCGGGCATGTCGTGGTTGATCACCGTGGTGACTCCCTTTACATCTAATACGTTAGTTTACGAATACCAAGTGCTTTCCGCCCAACTCGAATATATTTCTATACCAAAGTGTAGCCAAGCGAAAAGCCTGATGGGACGCTTCCCATGCAAAAACTTACCAATACCTCTGGCGGCAACATCCGTGGCCACCATGATTGGCGACCGTCCGGATCTAAACTCGCTCAGAACCCAGTCTCTTTCCCTTTGTTCCTTGTCGCCGTGAATAGCCAAGGCTGGCCAGCCATCGCTGCGCATGTAGGCAGTGATATCGTCGCAGGTTCTTTTCGTAGACGCAAAGACAATCACCTTGGCCTGTGGCTCCGCCATGGCGGACTCCAGGTACTTGGCAAGCTTGTCTCTCTTCTCGTACTCGGAACAAACGTCGATGATCTGCTTGATGTTGTGCGAGGCGGCTAGGTCCAACGAACCAATGTTGACCTGGATGTAGTCGTTAAGGTAGTCTCTGGCCAATGTCTGGACATTCTTTGGCCATGTAGCAGACCACATCAGCGTCTGTCTGTCAGGGCGGATCTGGTCGACGATCTTGCGGATCTGGGGCTCGAATCCCATGTCCAGCATTCTGTCGGCCTCGTCCAGCACGAGATAGGTCACACGCTTCAGGTTGGTCCGGCCAGAGTCCAGCATGTCCAAGAGACGACCAGGAGTGGCAATACAGATTTCTGCGCCTCTGGCAAGGTCTCTGATCTGCTGGCCCTTAGGGACTCCACCGTAGACACAGGTGTTTCTGATTCTGGAGCTACGTCCGAACTTCGAACACTCCTTCTGAATCTGCACAGCAAGTTCTCTTGTTGGAGCCAGGACCAGACAAATTGGGCCATCGCCGGGTTGCAAAAGGGGCTGGGCATTAATGTGCACAATTGCCGGCAGGCAGTACGACAGGGTCTTTCCCGATCCTGTTGAAGCAATTCCCACCATATCACGTCCCGAGAGAGCCATAGGCCATCCCTGGCACTGAATCGCGGTCGGGTTAGGGAATCCCTGCGCCTTCACCTCCTTCAGAACATAGTCTGGGAAACCAGCCTCGTCAAAAGAGGTGATAGGTCTAGGGATGTCCCTGCCATAAACCGTCATATCGTGCTCCTTTCTGAACGCAGCCACCTCATCTTCTGACCGCGAAGTAACAGCTTCTGCCTCTTTGTAGAAATTCTTCTCAAACTTAGGCAAAGTCTCCAGATCGAAATTGGGCTTGGTCAAATTTGCACCAAGCTCGTAATCATCTCTGCGTCCATAGCTGCCATTGCGGTCATCTCTGCCAAACCTACTTCTATGTCCACCGCCATACGACTGGTAGCTATTTCTATTGTTGTTAGTATACGACATGTTAAAAGGGAATAATTTGTTTTAGATAAAAAAAAAATTTTGATAAAAATTGATCTTTTTCCGTAAAAAAATTTTACTTACCCGGTTCTGGAAAAGAAATACCAGCTACCATATCTCAATCAACTTCACCCATTAAAATACATTTTGAGTAGCTATTCGCTCTATACAAGCCTCCGCTGAGGCCTCTAAGGTTCCTCAGTGCCGTAGTCTCTTGCACTGATTTTTTCTCCGAAAACGTCTTCCACATGACTGCACAGATCAACAAGGTCATCGAGTCCTTTGTGGAGCGCCTCCACAGCGCTCATGCCGCCATAAGTTTGGATTCTGATGTTCATCTTGCTCTCTGCTGGGTGTGGAATCGAGTATCCGCAAAACTCAACCTCTGGGTTTTTCATTATCATATACCGCAGCGCATTTCCTAGCGTGTGGTCTTCATCGCTGATCTGGAAAGATGCCGCTGTCCCATCAGGCGTGGACCCAGGCAAAAGCTTGATCTTTTCGGTGTCGACCTCGTCCTGGCTCATGGTCTCGTCTACCACGTCCTCCATCGATGCGTCTGACATGGTGAAAAAAATGCAATTATTAACAAAAAAAATCCACGCCGCTGAAATAGTATCTATCAGCTTTCTGCCCGTGCCATATCGCCGCACTCGTTCGCCGTAGTTTTCAAGCCAAACCTGCCATTGTGCCGCCTCTCGAGCCATGGTCTCCTCTCTCAGTTGCTCTGTACGGCAGCCAGGCATGGAAGCCAATCGATTTGCGTTGTTACGTAATGCATTATCTCATTGCCCTCTATACTTGCTCCAGCAAGTGGCATAAACAAAACATTTTACGTAAATTGGCCCAGTGGAAGACTGAGTGATATTACGAAAGGGTCCTGTTTTATGCCGATGATATACTCATCACAGCACCCAGACCCTGGAAATGGCACACAGACAGACCCCCTGAACAGCAAAGCGAGCAGCAAGCACAACCCGGCTCCCGATGAGGCATCCTTTAATTTTGCCAATAGACGGGACTCGCTGTTGACCGGGTCGTCTGGCGTGCCCACCGACTACTACCAAGCTGGAAACACGGCTGTGGGAGGCGATCAGATGCACAACAACTCGATTTCTGGCATGTTTCCGCGTCAGGACAGCTTCTTTTTCCCACGGTTTTCGTTTGACTCAAATGCTCCTCCGGGGAGCTTCAGCGGTGCCTCGCAGCAGCAACCCCCTGAAGGGTTCCCTTACAACGATATCCAGAGAGAGTATATGTTTGCGTATCCTCCAGGAAGCCACAACGGGACTATGCAGAACTTCCTCCAGCCCTATTCCTCAGAACGGATGATACACTCGGGGCCCGGTGATCATGTTTACGGACGACGCCCGAGCGAACAGTTGGAGCCTTTTATCCCGCCACAGCAGCAACAGCAGCAGCAACCGACGCAGTTGACCCCACAACAGACACAATACCAGATACCTCAAGCGCAGGCTGTAACGAACTCCAGAAGCAACAGTCACTTTTTCCGAAGGTTTCCTTCAATAAGCCAGCCGAACAGCGAACTTCCCGTTGGAGATGTGGACAGCTTTTTGAAAAGAGACAGTGTGAACAAAATATTCGATCAGAACGGCGACCTGCTTGACGGCATTCCGTATACCGACCAGCAGCAGACTTCTCAGAATCAACAACAGTTCCAATCCGGTCATTCCCGAGGGGGAAGCATATACTCCAGCGCGCCTATGCTGCCGATTCCTTCAAGGATGGTGATGGACCCAGCCAAGAATTCTGTCCAGAGTGTCCAAAAAGATGCGCAGAACTCGCGTCCGGCACAGGAGTCGGAGTTGAAGAAAGATGAGGAAAGTGCGCCCAACAGAACACGTCACGGGGCCTATAATCCGGAATCTGTGAGCTCGGGCAACTCAGGGTCTCTGGACAGCGCATTGTCTCCCGTCAGCAAAAAGGCCAATATACAACAATCAACGAACAATCTGGTGCCGGTGGCTCCAAATGTCAAACCCGAGTACAGTAACATGGCCAACTTGGTTCCTGCTAATCAGGCACTCCACACCGAAGACGGGCGGCCGTTGATAGGCGCAACAAAGGTGGATCAATTAATGCTGGTTATCCAGGCGCGCAAGAAGGGATTAACCGGAGACATCAAGCAGGCCGAGGATGGAACCATTCTGGAGGAAGTCGGCCCAGGGACAACCACCACCTCTGTACTACCAAATCCGGTAGAATTGGTTGGGGGTGTTGAGAAACCTAACATACGCGGACATAAGCAACATCAGTGTCAATATTGTTACAAGAAGTTTACTCAGTCGACGCATCTGGAGGTGCACATTCGCTCTCACATAGGATTGAAGCCCTACGAGTGTTCTTATTGCCACAAGCGATTCACTCAAGGAGGCAATCTAAGAACTCATTTGCGTCTCCACACCGGAGAGAAGCCGTTTAAGTGCGAGGTTTGCGATAAGTCGTTTTCAAGAAAAGGGAACCTACAGGCGCACATGCTGACCCACAACAACCTGAGGCCGTTTGTGTGTAAATTCGACAACTGCAACAAAAGCTTCACACAGCTAGGAAATCTCAAGGCACATCAAAATAGATTCCACATGAAGACCTTGAACGAACTCACCAACAAACTGGCACATATATCGTCCTCAGGTAACTCCATTGATGCTCTTCCTCCAAACGAGAGAGATCTTCTGCTTTATTTCGCCGATTTATACAAAAATCTCAACAGAGGAATTCGCGGTCGCGGCAGAGGAGTGAAAAACGCAGACTCTTTGTCTCGCGGTCATGGAGTTTGATTGTCATGGGATGATTGAGGGGGTCGCATAGATTGTTAATTGTATTGTAGTGTATGTTTTTTGACTGGTAGGTAAGATTAATGTTAAATGGATTACCTATTAATTAAAATGGATTATGATTTCTGGTTAAAATCATTTGGAGGGCCTGCACTCCAGTCATTATAGAACATGTCCTCAAAATCGTAACGTTTTGGTGGGCCTTGGTAGTCGGGCGGCAGTCCGGTAAAACCTTTGCTGTTTTGTTGGGATTGGGAGACGGTAGACAGTCCCGAAGGAATTGATCCGAAGATGGTTCCATTTTGAGGCTCGTTTTCCGGCTCTTGATACTGCTCTGGGTAAGGCTCGGGCTCCGGAGTATTATCTGTCGACTGTTGATTTGAATTGAGCATATAAGGAGGCAGAAAGCGTCCGAAAATCTTCATGTCCAGTTGGTCCATAGGACCAGGAACATACTTGTATTTGGAATTCTGATCTGGAGGAGATATTGACGACGGGACGTCCTCCACTTCCGAGTTCGAAGGAAGATTAAGGTTAATGCCGGTGGACACACCATCAATGAAATTCACACCATTAACGATGTTGTTGATCTCTGAATTTTCCATTTTTGAGTAGCCGTTAAAGGGCTGTTGCACGTACTCGGGGGGTCTCATATTCTGCGGTGGCAGTGGAATAGCCATTTGATCTTTTTTGTGGTTATCACGCTCGAATTGAGACTTTCCAACTTGTGGCGTAAGGAAGTGAGAGTTTGGCGGTTCGTGGCTGATGCTGGCATTGGCAGTTTTGCGGTTTAGCTCCTCAAACAGCGCATTGAGAATGTTGTATGTTCTTCGCGCGGCCATGCTGCTGTCCTTCAGAATGTCCAAAACTCTCTTTCCGCTTTCTGCGTCCTTCTTGATTGCGATGTACTCGGGATCAAAATTTCCGCTAGACGTGACGGGCGGTGCAAAATGAACATAGTAGACCAGGCATGCGACGGAGAAAAAAATCGTGTATATCGAAAACCAATAAGACCCACTCAACATGTTCTTGTTGATCATGTCCTCTGCCAGTTTCACCACAATTCTGGCCACGTTAATACAATTCTTGGCCTTCTCGATGCATTTGAGATCATTAGATGACTTCGGCCTATTCACGTGGTCCGACGAAAGATAGTGGATGAAAGGCCTGTATAAGATAATCTTCACGTGCAGATAGGAGATATGAAGAAGTCTGTTGGCTTTCAGGTACTGGCTTGAAGGTTCGACACCAGGCTTCAGCTCTAGAGGAAGACTATTCATCCAGTCCTGTAAGTCGATTTCCAGTTGGTATACAATATCGTGGGTCATCAATTCGGGGCGACGGCCGTTTTCTATCTTTCGTGGTTTGATGGGGTATAGTTTTGTGACGATCTTCTTCATGATGAAGATCAGTCTCGTATGTGCGTTGGCAATGCCCGAGCTCGACAGTCGGTCGCCCTGTTTTTCGAAGCGATAGCCGTCCACCGTGATGTTCTCGTCGTCGAGCTCGATTGGCATGTCCTGGTCGAAGTCATCCTCGCTGATCGTCCGCGGAAGCCCCAGCATGGTGTTGACGTAAATGTCCATCTTGTAGATAGTCCAGAACAATCTTTTTCGGATTTCCAGCTCGATTGGATTGAACGGGTAGTCGAGCTTTCTGTGTAGACCTTCTCGCAGAGCTGCCCGCAACGCTATGCCGATGTATGCATAGCATGTCGACAACCTGGCTGAACACTGCAAAAATATGATCAACATTACAATTGTCTGGATGCCGTACGTGTCTCTGGTGTCAGTGATATCGATGAGTTTCCGCGCTGCAATGAAGTACCTGTATCCTTCGTCCTCAAAAACCTCGTTCTCAGGGGTCGGCTCGCCATTCTTCGAGCCGTTGGTCTGCTCATCACTCTTAAGAAAGAGGGCGCCGCAGGCCATGACTGAGTACACGAGCGGCAGAAACCGCTGCTGCTTGTTGGTGTACTGGCTGGGGTCTGTGTCGTAGAGCTCGTTCAGATCCTCAATGAAGGCGGGTCGATGGTAGAAACGGAACAGAACACACGCGTTTTCCCAAGTCTTGGTGATCAGCCTCAGCGCAACCTCCCGAGACGGCAGAATGATCTTGATCTCCTTGCCCATGCTGGACTCGTACGAACCGTCTATTCCCTGGTGCGGGCCGCCACCATGCGGACTGCAGAAGTGCGAGCGTTCCGACGGTGACTCGTGGGTCTTGACCGCGGTCGTGGAAGGGGCAGGCTTCGGCACGCTGGGCAGTGTTGGCAGGGGCACGTCCGGCAACCTTTCGTACTCCTCTGCGATGGTCTTGCTCGAGGATTTTGTTTCGTCGCACGACTTTTCTCGCAGCTTGTTCATAGCCGTGAGCAGCTTCATGGGGTTTATCGGCTTCGGATTGTCGTTGAGATCTGTCAGCTTGATGTCGGGCAGTAGTCGATGCAGGATGTCGTCGTACAGCTTGAGTCGGTCGGCCATCCGCGCCATCACCTCCAGGCTGTTGGTAGGAAGATGGGGATGCTGAGAATTGGCAGATGGACCCGATGGAGACCCTGCATTAGCGGTGGTGTTCTTCCTCTTTGCGCGACTGGGCTGGTCGTAGGTGCACTCGTAGCTGTAGACAGTGCAGTGTATGCAGGGCAGGTCGCCAGAACACTTGATTTTCAGCTTTCGACATCTGTCGCAGGCACGCACCACACGGCGCTTCTTCTGCAAAACAACGCCCGACGACCCGTCCGATCCTGCTGGCATGATGATTCTTGGCGGCGCCGAGTTGCTGGGCTTCATTAATATCTCTCGGCCTAATTCTTTGTTTGCTGGGATGGAGGACCCTTGATCAGGTAATGAGCTTTGCGACGAGGCTTCGGGCACATCCAGGTTAGTACTCTTGCGCTTACACATCTGTACACCGATTCTCAATTGGGTAAATGGTAAATGCTAACGCCCTTTTACATGCACTTATACAAGAAAAGGGTATAAGTTTTTTGACCGTACACATAGGCCCCTCATCCTCATAAATAACGCGGCAGTGAAATATTTCTAGAACACCTTTACATTCGTAAACTATGCTTATCACGCTTTCTGATTTATATACTTAAACTCGCGTCCTATTGTGTTCTGTGTCGTCTTGCACGGCTGATGAAATTCGTGTGCGTCGACGTGCTCTTGCTCGTTTCCACGGCCGTCCTCATTTCGCTCCGCTAAAGACAAATTCTGCCGTCCTGTTTTTGCGGGTATTTTTTTACACCTCAGTCTCCGACCCGGAGTCAGGGCTCTCTGACGAATAACGGTGATGCCAGAAGCCGGCAGGCGACGGTGGCGGACTGTGCCACTCGCGTATGAAGTGCGCCCTATCCCTGCTACGTGGACGTCTCCAATGGCCGCCATATCCGTAGCCGTACACGTCGCGGTGGTGGAACGGCAGTGGAGGTGGCGGTGGTGGAGGATGGTGAGGGTGGTGACTGAACATGCCGAACCCTCTGTTGCCATACGGGTGGTGGTGTGGTGGCGGTGGAGGAGGAGGGCCAAAGCGCCAAGGACCAAACTCCTCGTAGCCCCAGTACGGACTGTCCTCCCGTGCTAATTTTCTCGATTTTTTTTTGTTGGAACGCTTGCGTTTCTGTTTGGAACGACACTCGGACTTTTCCCGCTCCTCTGCCTGCTTCTCAGAGGCGCTGCCGGTGTTTTTTCTGGCCTCCAGAACGTCGGCAATCTTGGCGATCAAAGCCACTAGCTCCTCTTCTGAAGCATCAGTTAGGTTCACAGTGACGATTTCTTTCTCTGTCATGATAATTATATTTGGGCTTCCAGTTCGGTATTTATACTATGCGATCAGATGCACGGGATTCACAAAGTTGGGGGCTTGGGCTTGGAATCCCGAAACAATCCCGATATGCACGTCTCGCTGTACATCAAAAAGGAGCAATAACCGAGCCATATGCACCTTCTGCATGTCATATCCCGAAACTGCGTTTCAATCCCGAATTCCATTGCCCGGGCAGCTAGCTCTGTAGCCGTCTAGCAAGCTACTCTCCCAGATAGTTTTGCGCCAATACTTTTGGCTCTGGGGAGTTTAGATGCTTGGGTTGTTTCCGGAAAGGCGCACTAGATCGCAATTGATAATCTCTCTTGGTATACGAGCTTGTACAAATACCTACCTACTCTTAAAGGACACAGTAACTTGGTATGAAGCGGACATGACTGCATCCTTGCTATGTGTCTTTATTGGGATGCTAAGCCTCCAAACAATCTGTTATGTAATTTGTGGCCGTCACTTGGAAATTGCTTGGTTCGTGACATTTTGAAGTTGAGTACGAGCTCGTGCAACCAGAAAAACGACCGGTTTCTTCCTTTTCGCGCTTAAAAAACGAGGCTCTAAGGACACACATGGCCAGACTCCTTCACAGAATCATGGTTTCTCCACCAATCTTGGCCTGTCCCTGCTGCACACGTGCAGTCCTGGTTCTACAGCTATACGAGGACCACGACGCATGTGTCGATTAGCTAAGCAGCCGTTACGAGGCAGTTTTGTGTTACATCCTTGCACCGCAATCCGTGGTCAGCAAAATTAGACGGAGTTGCGCTATTCCTAAAAAGCGCGTGCGGGACAGACCCCACCCATGCAACTTATGACCAGCGTTCACTACCCCTCTATTTCACCCTGTGCGGATAAATGGCGCCGGTAACTACGAAAATAAAATGCCAGATACACACACCGTGAGAGCTTCTTGGGCGAGCAGACTTGCCCTCGCATGTAGCGTGTATAGAGCACAAGGTCTGGATGTAATTTATCGGAGTCTAATTTTCCGCAACGGCATGAATTTCGAGTTATAAATTAATTTTATAGCCGGCTCGTTTCTTTTTTTGACGATTGTTAGTGACTCTTTAAAGATCTTGACGGATTTTGCAACGCCGTACATCAACAGAATAAATAGTCCAGAAGATCCTAACTTTCTGAGAGGTCCTCTAAATCTTTCACATATCGCCATGTTCGGAAAACAAGAGCAACAAAACAGCACCGAGACTGACGATCTCAAAGCAAAGCTCAACTACGGAGCTGAGAAAGAGAAGCAAATCATGAACGAGATTCGAAACGGTAACAAAAGCAAGACTTTTAGCCAGCTTTTCGAAAGCAACTTAGGAGGAGAATACTTCAGCTTCAGCTACAAGAAGAACTAATAGTTTTAATGAATTCGAGATGATATGACCAATTAGTAGAAGAAATTCCATCTGTAGAGCCGAGGTTATTGGCTGTTAGGGCCCAAAATTGAGCTTCTATTATTTGTTAGCCGTTCACGAAATGGGTAGAAATTTTAGAACATTTTTTGAGAGAAAAAAAAAGAAAAAGAATAAAAGCGACCTCGGTGAGGATCGAACTCACGATCTTGCGATTAACAGTCGCATGCCTTAAACCAGCTTGGCCACGAAGTCGTATCTGATGCCTTTTTTCCTCCTTTCGAGACTATATGTGATTAAAGAAACAAAAGCAAGCTGCATCGTAGCCACATATCCTTGGGCGCCTGTAGCGTCGTGAATCATTCTCCGAGAAGAAACTGTCATGCGCGACATGCTTCTCCGAAATGTGTCTTGCTGTTCCCGTGAGCTGAACCGAAAATTAATCAAGCTCGAAAATAAATATGGAAGTCTACACAATCAATATCCGCTGATCCTTCCTGAACACAATCCAGAACTACTCCGCCTACACTTGTCGTGTGACAAGTTTCATACACAGGCACAAAAGTGCTACCTATATTAGCAGAATATCTCTAATCTGTCACCCAGTTTCCTAGTAATGCAGATTAATTATATTTTTTCCCTTTGTTTTCCATGCTTTTTGTCTTCCTTTTTGCGCTGCTGGTCAGTGGTCTTCCAGCGGACGAAATGTTCCGCGTTGACTGGCAGACTGTTCAGATAGGAGTTCCGTTTAGCTCTGTCATCGCAAACAACCGCGTTTACTGTTTGACTGATCAAAACATATATTCGGTTCTCAGTTCCTCCACGGGCGATGTTTTGTATAGATATCAGTCGGCCACGCCTATAGACGAGGATTCGATATTGTGTCCTGCCTGGGATGGAATTGTCGTGACCGGAATGAACCACGGGCTGTTGTCGCGCGTTATATTCTGGACTATCGACGGCCTAATTGAACACGAATTCGAGACCGGCAGTATTGCTGGAATTCACAACATACGCGATGAGTCGCTTCTCATTGTCCATAAGGATGGGTCTGTCACAGAAATAGACAGAAAATTGCAGCAGAGGCCTATCGCAAGCGTTGGAGATGTGGTGTCCAGCAAAATTGCATATTTCGTCGATCAGGTGGTGTTGATCACGAAAAATGAGTCTGAAGCAGTGTCTTACTGGGTTCTGGAAGGTGCGAGCGGCTCATTGGTATGCGATTTCAGCCAGATTTTACTGACAGATGACGGGATCGTGTGCAACAAAGACGTCTACAAGCTTGAAAATGGCAAGCTCCAGAGACAGAAGAACACAAAATTCGCTCCCGCTCTTGCCGGGTCCACACACGCGAGGGTTGCCAGCTCCCAGTTTCTTGTCACTGTCGGGGAAAAAGTGAATATTTACGACTTGGACGAGCCAACAAGCCCAATTAGTTCCTTTTCGTTGGACTCGCGCCCCGACCTATTCGAGGCCGCCACTATTGGCGACTCGCTCAACGTGTTTGTGGTTTCTGGAAATGACGTGCTGCTATATGCAGACGGCGAGTTGAAGTGGGCCAGAGACGAGTCATTAGCCCAGATCAAAGATATTGAAGTAATCGACCGCCACGAAAGGCTGGCAGTCACCGCTGAAGATTTCGAACGTGAAAAACACTGGTCCGGATACGTTGGAAGAACAAAGCATAACATTCGTCTGCTGCTGGATAGCGCACCGTCGGAAAGCGATAAGCACTTTGGATTTAACAAAACTATTCTCGTCTTGACCACTAATGGAAACATCTATGGCTTTGACAGCTACGGACACCATGAATGGAGCATCAAAGGCCACGGATTCACAAAAATATTCAAGGTAGACAACCAGGCATATGCGGTCAATGACCACGTCTTCTGTGTCACAGACGGAAGGCTGTCTGAAACGGACGTTCAGCACGAAGCAGAAGCGCTATACCCTCCGAACCTTGACACCTCCTACCGCCTGCTGCAGGCCGCCTCGAGAAGATACAATAACTCAGAAGTGGCATCTCCAGCAGTTGTTCTGGAAAATAGGAGAGCACTGTACAAATACCTCAATCCCTTCACGGCAGTGGCCGCATTCTACAACGACGACGAGCGAGTCGTCAGGTTTGTGGTTTACAACAAAGCCACAAACCAAACATACTCATCGTTTACTCACAGGACGGAGAACCCGGATTCTTTGAAGCTTTTTATCGAAGAAAACTTTATCATATTCACCACGACAGAGAAAAACGCAGAGACCAGCATCTGTGGAGTCATCGAGCTGTACGAGTCGCTCGTTCCCGATAGAAGATCGAAGGTTCCGGAGCATCAGGTGCGGACCTACATTTTGCCGGCCCCGGTGTCTGCCATGACGATCACACGAACCAAGCATAACGTGAGCTCCAAATGGGTCATTGTTGCTTTGGAATCGGGCGAAATCGTTGCTCTCCCCCGGGCACTGGTCAATGCCAGACGTCCTTTCAATACCAGCAAGCAGAAGACTGAGCGTACACCTATGAAATATCAGCCTGTTCTACCTTTGAATCCCAAACTGACGTTGTCTCATTATAGAAAAATCTTAGGAACCCAGAAACTGGTGTCTGTACCGACCGAGCTCGAGTCTACCACGCTGGTGGTGGGCAGCGGGACCGACCTCTTTGCGACGCTGGTGCGCCCGTCCAGCTCTTTCGACTCCATGAAAGGCGATTTCAACAAAAACGCTCTGATGGCAACCATGGCCTTGCTAGTCCTGTCGATTCTTCTCGTGCGTCCTCTAGTAAGCCAAAAACGAGTCAAAGACACGTGGCAAACCAGAATCTAGCGGTCTCTGCGTCTTCTGTCGGTCTTTCGTCCAAGCTCCATGTCCTTACGACAGTCGGGACAGTACCAAATCCCCTGTGGCGGCTCCTTCAGCCCCACACAGTCATAGTGGAACCACTCGTACTTGCAATCTGAGTTATCACATGCAATCATGTTTCCGTACGACACCTGTTGACAGAAGCAATACAGCTCATCTTCCTCGTTGTAGTTGTGGTTTGGCGCCTTTGGTATGGTCACCGTACCAGAAGCACCGTGCTCTAGTAGAGAGTTCTTCTTCCGTGGCGCTCTTATCATCATGTCATCCATCTCTAGATCGCTCAACTCTTCAGATGTCATTCTATTTCGAATGCCGCCGAAGGAACTGGCGTAGTTGCTCACGTAGACGTTAGACGGCGTAGAGTGTCTTGATTTGCGAGAAAGACGGCCTTTGCGGGTCAGCGAGCCCATTGAATCCAGCGACGCGCTCGAAATTTGCGAGCTCAGCATGTCCAGCATGCCATTTTCAGCGTCCTCCTCTTCAGATGATTCCTCGTTGAGAATCGGAGGTACCACTCCTTCCTGTTCGAGCTTTTCGATGTCGTTCTCCAGCTTGGTCAAATGCTTGGCCAGCAGAAACAGCGCCGTGTTTGCTAATACACACTTTTCCTCCTGAAGCTTGATGCCTTTTTCAAAGTCTTCTCTGTTTTTCTGGTATATCTGGTCCTCCTTGGGATGCTTCACCAACGAGCCTTGTTGTTTGATCAACTTGAACAATTGGTTATCTCGTTGTCCTACGCGTTTCTTGATATCATACAGCTTGAGGTCTTTCTCCCGCAACTCCTCCAGCAAATATGCCAGCTCCGACGGCAGATTGGACAGGTCTTGGGTGTACTGTTCTAATAATGTGGAGGCGTCCATATATTTTATTTAGTTTAATTTTTTTCGCCATTTTAAATATTATTTATCTATTTTCGGACTAAACCTGTTTGCTTGGTTTCCGGATATCTGTCTCTGCATACAGCTCATTATACTTTCCCTGGTTTCCGTACCGGCTGCGTCTTGGCTTTCTCAGGTGGGATAAGTCTCTATGCTTTCTGTTGAGCCACAGGAACATGTACATACCAAAGACCGCAATGATTACAACGGTAGGAACAGACATAATGACGTAGTAAACATTATCGTTGGTTCCCGTACGGTCCTGGAGCTCCTTGTCGATCTTGCTGTTTTTGGCAACGACAGCACGTTTCTGGAACAGAACCACGACGTGCGCGGATTCGATGAGGTTGAAGTCTTCGTCGTCCACGGTGTCCGGCTGGATGGCGATGAGAACCGCCTTGCTCTGCTGTTTTCCAAGCCATTCTTCGTCCACTTCGATCGGGAAGTATCCATCTCTATTGATAAACCAGTCAGAGGAGAAAAACGTGCCAGGAAGGGCCCCCTTGTGTCCTGTAGAGTGATGGACGCTTTTGGTTCTAGGCTTGACCGGTGCTCCCAAATCTACCAGATCTCTCTTGGCCATGCCCTTTTCTCTGGAGGACTCTTTCAAAAAGGCGTAGTGGACACGCACGTTGCTGGCATTCTCAAAGAACCTGGTGTACCATGTGAGGAAGTAGGTCTTGCCCGTTTGCAGTTTCTGGTTTTCGTGCGGCGAACAGAATGGCTCCGAAACAAGCTCCCTGGCAACTCCCTTCTTATAGTAGAAGTCTGGAGTGCACCTCATAAGCGGGTTCAAAGACACATAAGTATCGTCTTCTGGCTGCCAGATCACCTCGGTGAACACCTGATCGTCTGCCATGTTATGTGCCTTCAGTTGCTCCTTGTCGTATGTGACTGTGGTGGCTGTTTGGAAATACGTCTTGAGGTCCGGACGGCCGTTCTGGATCTTTCCGTTCTTCATCTTTGGGTTTATCGTCTTTGGAGACCCGTCTTTCTTGAGCGAGATCCAGGGCTCCAGTCCGTTCGTGGTGGCCGGAGGTTTGGCACTGAACGTGATTCCGCCCACTACAGTCGGCGTCACAATCTCCGGTATGCTTCCGTAGATCGTACGCAGCCAAGGAGCCGGCATCTCAGCCTCTGCGGTCGAACTGGTGCCCTTTCCTTGCATTCTCTGCGCGTAGTCCTTGTTAACAATAGCCTTTTTCATCCGCTTTTCTACCACAACGGGCGTGGAAGATGGCGCAGAATCAGCCAACAGAGTCTGTGACGGCAATACCGGAAGAGCCGCCAGCTGGCATGACAGCATCAGATAAACAAGAACCTTCATTTGGTACGCCTGTCTATTTTTTCCTGGAAAAACTGATTTCAAAATATAACAAACCCGTGCACGGGATGGGCCTGTAAACAACCTATGCGACACAGATATTTTTCGGGGTCAATTGACAGGTTTTTGGCCTAAAAATAAGGTCGTCTATTTAAAGTTTTGCAGCCGCAGCTCAAACACCGGCGCAACGGTTAGTGGTCTCCTCTAGACCTCTTCATTTGCAAAGCAAGATCATCTCTGTTCCTGCTACAAGGCCAAAACATCTCCTGTTCGCCCTCCTGTAACGCTCACCCCACATATCTTGCAGTGCTTTCCAAGTAGACGGCGAACCGGCAAGTGGTGATCGCCGAAAAGAAGGCTTGGTGGATAGCGCACAGCTGTGCGTAATGCAGACCGTTACCATAGAAGGCATCCACAGGCTGTGTGGGAGCCTGTCTGATGTTGGGCACGACAAGCCGGCACAAAAGCCAGCTCAGACACTCTCCTAAAGCAATAGGTGTGCCCGAAATGCCACCAGGAGGGAGGATTCGGTTGCCTGTTTTCGTTCTGCAAGATGGCTTTTCTTTTTTTTAACAAAGACGCTTTGAGATGCACTTACAGATCAACAAAATGTACTTTCTACGACCTTCTTAGTAATGAACCAGACAAATATTTATAGGCTGGCACTAGGACATCAGAAGACCGACAAATGTCTCAGCCATCATTAACAGACACAAACCTATTCAAACCAATCAAGGTCGGTAATGTGGAGCTCAAGCACGGATTCTTCTCGGCTCCAACCACGAGATTCAGAGCATCTGATGATTTCGTGCCTACCGACTCCATGCTCAGCTACTATGAGCAGCGCGCGGAGAACAACGGTGGACTTATCGTTGCCGAAGCCACTTTCCCCGACTACAGCTTTGGCCTGTATCCAAACGCTCCTATGATCAAGACGCCGGAGCAGGTTGCTGCCTGGAAGAAAATCGTGGATGCTGTCCATAAGCAGGGATCTTTCTTCTCGATTCAGCTGTGGCACTTGGGAAGAGTTGCCGTCCCGCAGCTGAACAAGAAGTACAACGTTCCCCTTGTTGGTCCTTCCAAACTCTACGTCGACGAGAGCAGCGAGAAGGCAGCAAAAGAGGCAGGAAACGAGCTACACGAGCTGACTATCCCTGAAATCGAGGCCATCGTGAAGGAGTTTGCCGCCGGCGCCAAGCGGGTGGTTGACGAAGCCAAAGCAGACTTTGTGGAAATTCTTGCTGGAGGAGGCTACTTGCTGGACCAGTTCAACCACTCAAACATCAACAAGAGAACCGATAAGTACGGTGGCTCGATCGAAAACCGTGCCAGACTGATTTTGGAGGTTGTCGACGCATGCATCGAGGCGGTCGGCGCAGAGCATGTCGGCATCAAGCTGTCGCCATACGCAGCGGTCAATGGTCTCCAGGGTGTCGATACGGAGATCCACCCTATTTCCAGATATGGATACATCTTGAGCGAGTTGGAGAGAAGAGGAAAGGAGGGAAAGAGAATCGCGTACATCACAATGATCGAGCCTCGTGTCAACGGCACGGAGGACAGCAAGGACACGCGGGCGTTCGACTCCTCGTGGGTGGGCGAGATCTGGAAGAGCACTCTGTTGAGGGCGGGCGCCTATCTCAACCAGTTCTCGAATTACCTGATCCAGGACGTCAACAAGGACGACAGAACGCTAATTGGAGCCGCTAGATACTTTACCTCCAACCCGGACCTTATCGAGAGACTGAGAAAGGGACAGGAGCTGACTCCGTACGACAGATCGAAGTTCTACACCCCGGCCACCAATGACGGCTACATCACGTGGACCAAGTATGGCGAGGATCCCGAAAAGTACAAGGGCCTTGTTGCCGTGAAGCCACAGCCGCTGTCCTGATGGCAGGCTGTGTGCGAGCCAAGTACCGTGACGCGTTGCGTGGTGTTTAGATAGGCGTATAGATTTGCTTACATAATTATTAGCCGCAACCATATGCATGCGTCCTATTGTCGCACTACAAGAAACATTTCTCGGCAGTCGGAACTTCATCAGTGGCAAGCTCTCGTGCTTAGTAATCTTGCATTATATAAGAAGCGCACCACCAAACGATTTACCACCATGACCCCAAGCACTTCTCTTGCTTCCAGCAATCTGTTCAAGCCTATCAAGGTCGGCAAAGTCGAGCTGAAAAACAGACTTGTTTTCGCTCCAACCACCAGATACAGAGCCTCGAAGGATTTTGTTCCTACCGACTCCATGCTCAAGTACTACGAGCAAAGAGCGGAAAATAACGGAGGCTTGCTGACTGCTGAGGCAACCTACGTCGACTTCAATTTTGGCCTCTATCCGTTCACGCCGATGATCAAGACGCCTGCGCAGGTTGCGGCCTGGGCCAAGATCATCGAGGCTGTACACAAGCAGGGATCATATTTCTCCATCCAGCTGTGGCATCTCGGCAGGGCTGCCGACCCCAAGTTCAACAAGGAGAAGGGCGTGCCGTTCGTGGCTCCGTCGGCTATATACTTGGACCAGGACTCTGAGAAGGCAGCCCGGGAGGCCGGCAACGAGCTTAGAGAACTGACGATCCCGGAGATTGAGGCGATTGTCAAAGAGTTTGCTGCAGCCGCGAAAAGAGCCATCCACGAGGCCAAGGCCGACTTCATCGAGCTGCACAGCGCCCACGGCTATCTGCTGGACCAGTTTATCCAGCCAAACATCAACAAGAGAACCGACAAGTACGGTGGTTCGATTGAGAATCGCGCCCGGTTGGTTCTAGAGGTTGTCGACGCGTGCATTGAGGCGGTCGGCGCAGAACACGTGGGTATAAGACTGTCGCCGTACGCCAAGTTCCAAGGCAGCGAGGGTGTTGACAGCGAAATCAACCCGATCGCGTCCTTCGGCTACATTTTGAGCGAGCTCGAGAAAAGAGCCAGAGACGGAAACAGGCTGGCGTATGTTTCCGTAGTCGAGCCAAGAGTTAGCGGAAACGTAGACAGCAACGACCAGCGGAAGTTTGACACTTCCTGGATCAGAGAAATCTGGAAGGGTATTCTATTTAGGGCCGGCGGATACCTCAAAGAAAACGAGCAGTCGCTGGAGCACGATGTCAACCAGGACGACAGAACGCTTATTGGCGTCTCGAGATATTACACTTCGAATCCAGATCTCGTGGAGAGATTGAAAAAGGGTCTGTCGCTGACGCCCTACGATAGATCCCGCTTCTACAACCACTCCTCCAACGACGGCTACCTCACATGGCCTAAGTATGGCGAGGACGAGGAGAAGTACAAAGCTGTGCTGGATGTCGAGCCAAAGGCCCTTGCGTAGGCATCGTGGCCCTAACTAAGCAGACAGAGGTCGCTCTTGGCCGTGCCTTTATAGCTGCAATACTACCCTACTTGATCGGCACCGTAGCATCGTTTTTACCGGGACGGCCCGTCTGCCAAAGCCACAAACAACTGCGTGCTCGCAACATATCGGCCGAGCTGACACAGACATATGGAGATGTCTTATTGTGCAGAACAATAGGTCGAAATATGCCGGCGATTGAGAATCACGTGTCCGGTAATGTCAGCACCAGGGCAGCAAGGATTCCAAGCGCTGACATGTCTGCCTTGGGGGACTTAATTCCCGCACAAAAACCACCGAAAGCGCAACGAGCGCCTCAGCTCACCTGCCAGCACAGCATATTGCCGTGGGCATTGTATCTGAAAAAAAACGTTTATGCATCTCCAAATCTGTCAATAAAATTTCTATGTGCTTCTCGCTTAGTAATTAGTAATTATAAAATGAGCACTTCTCCCTGAACCAGAGGCCAGAGTTACCATGTCCAAGACACCAACGCTAGCAAACACGAATCTGTTCAAGCCTATTAAAGTCGGCAAAGTCGAGCTGAAAAACAGACTTGTTTTCGCTCCAACCACCAGATACAGAGCCTCGAAGGACTTTGTTCCTACCGACTCCATGCTCAAGTACTACGAACAGAGAGCAGAGAACAACGGCGGTCTCCTGGTGACCGAGGCTACTTATCCGGACTATAGCTTTGGTCTGTACCCCGACACCCCGATGATCAAGACGCCGGCTCAGGTTGCTGGCTGGAAAAAGGTGATTGAGGCCGTCCACAACAAGGGCTCCTTCGTCTCTATCCAGCTGTGGCACCTGGGAAGAACTGCCAGCGCCGAGTTCAACAAGTCCAAGGGTCTTCCCCTGGTCGGTGCTTCGCCGATCTACATGGACGAGGACTCCGAGAAGGCGGCCAAGGAGGCTGGCAACGAGCTCAGAGCGCTCACGATTCCTGAAATAGAGAACATTGTTACCGAATATGCTGCTGCCGCCAAGCGTGCGATCCACGAGGCCAAGGCCGACTTCATCGAGCTGCACGGCGCCCACGGCTATCTTCTCGATCAGTTCAACCAGCCTGGCTCCAATAAGAGAACCGACAAGTATGGTGGATCCATCGAGAACCGCGCCAGACTGATCCTGGAGGCTGTTGACGCCTGCATCGAGGCTGTTGGCGCTGAGCACGTTGCCATCAGACTGTCTCCGTATGCGGCCGTTCAGGGTATCAAAGGTGTTGACAGCGAGATCCACCCCATCTCCTACTTTGGCTACGTGCTGAGCGAGCTCGAGCGCAGAGCCCAGGAGGGAAAGAGACTGGCCTACATCTCTGTTGTCGAGCCAAGAGTCAACGGCATCTACGACTCCAAGGACAAGAGAGAATTCAACACCTCGTGGATCAGCGAAATCTGGAAGGGTGTTCTTCTGAGATCTGGTGCCTACCTGAACGAGAACTACAAGTTCTTGCAGCATGACGTGGACGAGAACGACAGAACCCTGATTGGAGTTTCCAGATACTACACGTCCAACCCAGACCTTGCTGACCGGCTCAAGAACGGCCACGAGCTGACACCATATGATAGATCTAAATTCTACAAACACTCCTCCAACGACGGATACCTGACCTGGACCAGATACGGAGAGAAAGAGCCTCAGTACAAGGATCTGGTGGATGTTGCTCCAGAGCCACTGGCCTGATTTTATAGAAGGATAGATGAGAATACCAGTTCGCAGACTCTGGGTCTGCGCTGTATTGGAGATGTGACTGTAGACTTTTGAGCAGCCAGGTCGAGGGCCCACCTCGAGGCATTACGTAATAAATCGGTGTTTTTCTTTTGCAGCTACCACATAGAATAAATTTACAGATAACGTCTGATGTCTGCGTCGAACAACTCGCCCACGGGAAAGCCTGCCACATACGGGGCCATTCCGATCCCCAACCGGGGAGCCAAGCCCAGCAGGTCGATGGTGTTCAACTCGCCGCTGGGCACGTCCAGGACGCCGAACTCCTTATCTGGGTTTGCATCTTCCTTCCATCGTGCACAGTCGTTTCGGTCGCTCGAGCCCCGTTTCAAGGCCTCCAGATCGTATTTCCAGGACGACGAGGAGCTCATTGACCCGGACACGATGGCTCCTTCAGCCGTGGGACACAAGATCTCCACTGTTCTGCAGGGCAGACCGATTCTGGACACATCCGTGTTCGACGAGGCAGCCGTCGACGACGCGTCTTTTGCCGACCACAGCTACGCTGACTCCTCGCGCGCCAACTCACTGCACTCGTATGCGGCCTCCTTTCTCACCGCTGACGACTCGTTCACCCTGCGGCAGGTCGAGGACAGGGACGGCAAGGTGGTGACGATGATCGCTCCGCGGTCGACCGTTCCACAGACCATCTTCAATAGCATCAACGTTCTCATCGGCATCGGGCTTCTTGCGTTGTCCAAAGCAATGACATATTCTGGATGGTACTGCGGCATCGCGCTGCTTATTTTTTCGGCCTGTGTGACATACTGGACGGCCACGCTGCTCAGTCGCTGCATGGACACAGACCCGACTCTGTGCACGTATGCCGACCTTGGCTACAAAGCGTTTGGGGCCAGGGGCAGACTGTTGATTTCGGTCCTATTTTCGATCGAGCTGATCGGCGTTGGTGTTTCTTTGATTGTGCTTTTTGCCGACTCTCTGAACGCGCTGTTCCCGCAGATCTCCGTTGTCCAGTTCAAGCTCATCGCCTTCTGTGTGCTGACGCCCTTCTCCTTTCTGTCGCTGCGAGTCTTGAGTGGTATCAGTCTGCTGGGTATCACCTGCACCATATCGTTGGTTGTCACTATTGTGCTGATCGGGCTCACAAAGCCCGACAGCCCGGGCTCGCTGATCCATCCCATGCCGACCAACGTCTACCCGGACTCTTTTCACAACTTTCTGGTTTCTTTTGGCATCATTCTGGGCCCCTTCGGGTCCCACTCACTGTTTCCCGCACTCAAGTCCGACCTGGCAGAGCCTCACAAATTCCAAAAGTGTCTCTCAATCACGTATACTGTCGGCTTCCTGGCAGACTCGACGATGGCGATTACTGGATTTGCCATGTTCGGCGCCGGAATAATGAACGAAATCACCCAATCTGTGCTGGTCACCAGGGGATACCCTAGTTTTGTGTACCTGCTCGTGAGTGTCTGCGTTTCAATGGTGCCCATTGCCAAGACCCCGCTCAATGCAATGCCGGTCATCAACATTGTGGAGTTTATGATGAACATCTCGCCGCAGCAGATAGACTCTCCGACGCTCTTCCAGAAGGCTCTTCGCGTCGGTGCCAAGTTGCTGGTTAACATGCTTTTTGTGCTCATTGCAATCTTATACCCTGAGTTCGACAAAATCATTGGCCTCAGCGGAGCATCTCTATGCACCATGATCTGCATCATCCTGCCTTGCGCATTCTTTCTAAAGTTATGCCGGCCGCCGCACGCCTGGCTTTACTACACGGTTATATTTGTAGCAGCTGTTGTCGGCATAGCTGCCACCACTGCAGCAATTACAGACTAATTATATAGATAACTTATGACTACACCTGCCCGACCTTGACCACCCGCTTTTTCTTGCTCTCATCCTTGCGCTCGTTGTGTTGCTTCCGCTTCTTTGCCCGTCTCAGCCGCTGTTTTTCCTCCCGCGATAGCTCCGCCTTCGCCATGACCACACCCGACTTCAGCCTAACCTCGTCTTTTTCCACCTTCGAGACAGGTTTATAAACTTCCTGAGGAGCCAGCGTCTGCGCGTCTGACATGGTGAGCGGCTGCGCATCCTCCATGGAAATGGTCGACGTCTGCACCTTGACTTCCAGCTGTCTTTCTTTAGGCTTTGGAACAAAGTGCGCAGAGCACAGCGAGTCCAGCTGGTAGTTCAGCTTGTCTACCAGAGCTGTAATCTCGTCGTGGGCCTGCTTCAGTTCGGCACTGGCAGCATCCGTCTGCTTGCCCAAGTACTCGTCTTCGTAGAGTTCGGCTAGCGACTTGGTAGACTTCTCCTCGCTCACCTCCACCTTTTTGGACGGACGGAAGTCTGCCAGCTCGGAAACAACTCGTTTCTGCAATTCATCGAACTTTTGGTCCCTGATGCGGCGCTTGATTATATCCTCTATCGTTTCTGTGGTTTCTTGCGTGATGACAGGCACAGGCTTGGCGGCCCTGTCAAACTCCAGCTCCTCGTCCAGAAGTGCGTCTGCTTCTCTATTTTTCGCCTGAACTTCTCCCTTCATTTGCCAGGCCTTCTCCTTCACTGCCTCGGCCTCCAAAGCCTGGATTTCCTTCTGCAGCTGCAGCTGCTGCTTCTCGAAAGTACTCAGCTGCTGGTCTGAGTTGTTGAAATCTGCCATCACAGAGTCAAATGCTGCATCATAGTCGTCCTCGCCCAGATCAAATGACACCGCCTTGGACTGCTTGGACTTCTTCTCCTTCTTCTGCTCTGCAGTTTGCTTTTCTTCAACTTGCGGCTTGAAAAAATCGTCGTAGTGGTACATTTCTTCATCAGACGACTCCTCTACATCCAGATCGACTTCGCTCTGGTTTTCTTCCATCGCCATAATCTGTTTGTTGAAATCATCGATCGAGAAAAACTGGTCATTGAGACCAAATGCGTCTTTGGGAGGAGCCACATCCACCGACGAGTCTGAATCGTTTCTGTCCTCATCGCCTGCGTCTCCATAAAACTCTTCGTCGGAGCCCAGTTCATCGCCCTCCTGAGCGCTCTCGTAGACTTCTTCCGATTCAGCACTGTCCTCAGACTCGTCTTCCGCCCCATCTTCCACTTTCTGCTCCCCCACATCCTGGTCTTCAGTGTTCTGATCCGACTCGCTTGCGCTTACTTCTTCGTCGTCACTCTTAACATCCTCCCATTTGTCGCTCCATATCTCTTCGTTAACGCCTTCGACAACAAGCTTCACCTGGCCCCAAACTTGAGAGGGCGTGAGACCATCCACATAAATTTCGTCGAGAACAGAATGTGCCTTCGTGATAGGATCTATTATTTGCTTCGCTTCTTCAAGAAGTTTGTTCTCGTCCAGGCCTGATATCACGACCTGACGTGGGTCGTCAGCTAGCTTCTCTAACAGACTCATGCACAACTGGTGAAAAATAGCTAAATTTTTCCTAAAAATATTTTTTGGCCCACCTTTACACCGAACATGTTCAACGGCCATGATTCCTGGAGCCTTGTCCACATGGCTTACCGCAGAAATATTATCTGCCTTGCACGCAAACTTTGCCAACCATGGTATCTCCAGTCAGAACTCTTGCATACTAGCTGGTGGCCATGGGCTTCGGGCAGTACTCGGACGATCAGCACACTCTGTTCAGGCATCTGGGTAGCCTAGGTATGGAATTGCGTTCGAAGCACCGCATAACTTGACAATTGACATGATCCACACCTTAACCCATAACAGTGAGTGGTATTCAATCGTTTTTGCTGCAGAAAAGATGTGGACTATCTTTCAGCTACCGGGGCACGCAGTCTTTTGTCGAAGACTGGGAGTGATTTATTCCGAACAATAACACCATTGGCAGGAAAGCCGACACCTTTGAAAGCTTTGACAGGGAAACGTATGGCAATCTTTACACCAACGGGGCCAGGTTGCCAAATTTTTAGTGCGGGCAGCCAAAGATTTGAATCTGCAACCAGTTTTGCGCACGGATTTTTCCATCACGATGACGACTTCGAAAAGTGAACAAAGCTCTACATAATCTTGAAAGAGTCAACGCAAGGTGCCAACACGCAGTCTGCCTCAAAAGATTTTCGACCCTTGATACAAGAAATCCAGTTTCAACTCCTGCACCAAGTCCTTCGAGGGGCAGTATTTGAACGAGGAAGCTGTCCGGTATATGAGCTTTCTCCAGGATTCGACATCTCTGCAGACATACTGTCCATCTGAGCTGATTGATTGCAGTGAAAGCAAAGTTTGCAGGGCGCTGTCCTTGAAAGTAGGCCTCGAGTACTCCAGAGACACCAAACTTACCAGACCAAAACCAGCCACTCCGTCACTTTATTCTTGGGTCAAGCATTGTCGTCTACGTTCACCTACGACACTGATCTGCTCTATTCCTTAACGGGACCGGAGTTATGGAGAACCAGGCTACCGAGTCAGACGAGAATAACATCGATTTGCTCCAGCTTTTCAGAACGTCAGAAATCATATCTACGGCGTATGGTGGCCAATACGTCAGGGCTGCTGTCATTGATGCTGTGGTGCCGCTGCGTTTCTGCTCTGACAGACTTAGCTACTCGTGCAGACTTTCCGACTTGCGTAGTCACTTTGAGTCTCGGTATGGCGGCGAGACCTACAAGCTCGAATGCAAGCTTCCTGACACTGTTGCGGACTCGCTGACCTTTTATTAGGACTGGATTAGGCGAAGGAGCGAACGGAGAAGTGGTGGATTGACTACGGAGCGGTCTAAGGAGTACGCTTATTTTTTCAACTGGAAATAGAATAATACTAGATTCCAAATCAGCTCGCCTCCGCGATGGACAACACGAATAAGTGCAAAAATTGCAAAAATTCCATTACCGAGGGGCATGCGTACGAGCTGGGAGGCGAGAGATGGCATGTGGAATGCTTCAAATGCTCAAAATGCGGAAAAGAACTGGGAGTGAACTCTAACTTTCTGATGCTTGGAACGGGCTCATTGGTCTGCTCGGAATGCTCGTATTCTTGTAAGTCGTGCGGCAAAAAGATCTACGACATGGCAATACTCACAGGGGATCAGGCCTATTGCGCCAGCTGCTTCAAATGCAAGGCCTGTAAGCGGCCGATTGAGGATTTACGATACGCGAGAACTTCCAAGGGTCTGTTTTGTATGCCATGTCACCACAAGCTGGTCGAGCGGAAGCGGAAGTATGAGGCCGTGAAATCACGCAACTTTGTCTCTTCCCAGGAGACACAGTCATCTGCAGACACGACTACCCCTTCCGACGAGAAAAGATACATGTTTGACGAGCTCGACGGCAGCAAGCCGCTGTCTGCTACAGAAAAGGTCCAGGTGACGTCGCCGCCCAAGGTGACGAAAAGCCCGGTGCTACAAAAAGTTGAAGGGTCGCCAATTCCTGGCCGTAGCGACAAACAAGAAGAGCTATTGACGATACCCTTGCGCTCGCCAAACCGGAACGCCACTTCCCCAAATCTGCAGCCGGTGACCGCCTTCAAATCGCCGAAAGTGGAAGATCTCGCGGAGATCAATATGGCTACACCAACTCCCCTGAAAGCAGACCGTTCTCCTATCTCGCTAAACGGTGTTGTTTCCCCAGGAAACAGAAATGCGGTCATCTTCGATAAGGAACCCGACTCGTTTATTGATCTGAGCGACGAGGATGAAGACGACTCCTACGAGCTAGACGTGGACCTGAAACAGGCTCCGAATCCGACGCGCTCCCCAAGCAAGAAACCCCCAAGCGGAACTATTCCTCAAACGCCCGACACACAGCTCGTTTCTCCGTTCAAGGGCCTGAACATCACAGGATTACCGCTGGAAGATGGCGAGCAGAGAGAACAGTATCCATCTACAGAGATCATCAAGGACAAGGAGAACACGGGGTATCATTCCCGGAAGTCTTCTGGTGGCTTTGGCCGGTCGTTATCGATCAAAAACGTATTCCATCGACACAAGAAGAGCAATAGTGGCACAGGACTAGACAAGAACAAGATCCAAATCTTGCGCGACGCAGGGTCTCCTCTCCTCGACCAGGACGAGCTTCTCAAAACGCCAGATTTTGGCTCTCCACTGATTAGCCACAAACACACCCACTCAGATCTCACAGTAAACCCATTCTCGCTACATGCCAGATCTCGCTCAGATGTAGTTTACGAGGAAAACCAACCGGAGTGGCAGATTTTGCAATTGGACCAACAGGTTAAACAACTAAAGGCCGAAATAACTTCTCTCACAAGTGCAAAGGCGACGTTAATGCGGGACATTCAGTCGCTAACATCGGAGAAGAATCACCTGGAGGATGATATAACGCTGCTGAAGGAACAGAGAGAGAAATTAGAGAGTGGGGCCGTGCCAGAGGTGAAGGAAGTCGAGTCGACAGAGTCACCATCATTCACCCAATCAGACGACACCTTGCCTGAGCTGTCGTCGCGGATTGCACAGCATTCAAGGAAAATGAACTCCGTCGAGGACCTTAGCGAGAAGCCAAAAAAGGGAGGGTTCATTAGACGCATCTTCGGCAACGGAGGCCAGACGTCTCAATACGGCACTAACATGGTTTCTTCCCCTTCTGTCCAGAGCATCGGCTCTCCAAAGAATTTCAGACAGATGGACGAATCGTTTAACACCTCGCAAGAGGAGATTGAGGAACCCAGACCAGCAGGCGGTCTTTCGGCGATGATCAAATCAAGATCCTCAAACTTTTTGCGTGGCAGTGCCTACCCGCTAGGAAAATCCCTATACCAATGCACACTGCAAGAACGGGCGGAACTGGAGACTAGAGCGGTCCCATTTGTCTTCTCCTGCTGTCTGGCAGAAATCGAAAGCCGGGGAATCAGAGAGGGTATCTACAGAGTCAGCGGATCGTCTTTGGCCATCGATAAGATCGAGAGGTTCTTCGAAACCGTGGAAATATCAAACGAGAAAGAGGTCAATAAAGTGTCCTCGATTTTGGAGGGCGACATCAATGCCGTCGCAGGCATGCTGAAGCGGTACCTCAAGAAGATTCCTGATCCTGTGATTCCATTCAAAAACTACGAACAGTTCATTGAGGTGTCGAAGCTCCAAAGCGAAGCCGACAAATATACAGGACTAAAAGGATTGCTACATGATCTGCCACAGGCCAATTTCATCGTGCTGCAGCAACTGTGCAAACACATGGGACTCGTGGTTCGTAACTCTAGAGTCACCAAGATGACGTACAGCTCGTTGGCAACAGTGTTTGCTCCAACACTGGCACGCGACAACACATTCAATCCACAGCGCGAGATCCTCGACAACGGAGCCAAGACGGCCGTTACCGAATTCCTGTTCCGCAACCACGAGGACCTGTTTACCCGGACTATCGCCTAGTTAACATCTGTTATGCTTGTGCTGGAATACATCTCGAGTCGTCTGTGACCGACACGGAGTAAATGCTCAATTGCTGCAAAATTACGCTTTGGGATATCTCGATAGCGAGCAAACTCGGAATGTATGAAAGTCACCCAATGCGAACGCTTATCCTTAGGTTAGAGTAATGCATCCATTCCACTTACGGCCGGCTTGGTCCGTATTGCCCTTAGACAATTGCGATATAAAGAAAGCACTTCTTTCTGTAGACCGGAAAAACGTTTAGCCATAAAAATTAAAAAAATGAGAGACATTTTTTTATATCATTATGGCAGGCCTTTAAGAACGCTACAAGTTCTAGTTTTGCTAGCTATTTCATACTTCACCATTTATTACCTAGTAGAAAGTTGTTGGACGTTTGGCCGAGTAAAGCTTGGCAGGCTTGGTGACTCTGTGAGGCAATGGGAACTTGAGGTCCTTGGTCAAGAATTGTCTGATGTACTGTCTCTTGACATCGTCCGTCTTCTCAAGCTCGACAACCTTCAAGATGTGGATAGATCTAAATCTGGCTCTGTGTCTGGCAGCAAGGTCAGCGTACATGGTCTCGACAGCACCGACTCTGCTAACGTCTCTGTATTCCTTGTACATGTTGTGAGTTCCAGATCTGGAGTCGTATCTGATCCAAATGCCGAAGTTCTTGACCTTGGTTGGGTGGGTCTCGCTGATGACGTTGAGGGAAACGATTTCACCAGAGGCCTTCTTGACCTTGTGCAATTTTTGCAAGAAGTACCAGTATCTCGACTTGGCGACAACGTCGTTAGGAGCAAAGATTCTCATTCTGTACAACTTTGGCTCCGGCACGGACTCGGTAGGCAGCTTTCTGCCAATAACCTGGTATTCGTAAAGACGGGACATGTTGGTCTTGTTGAAATGTATAAAATTTTCAGCTTGAAAAAATTAATATTTTCAAGGGCCGCCAACCCGGGGCTGAAGTCACGTGATGCTACAAAAGGCACCAGCTCAGCTTGGGTGCCTTTATTTTTTTCTCTTAGTCGTTGGCGGTCCCAGGTGTGGCCTGAGAGTCTGGTGCAGGGTGGAAACCGTATCTCTCCAGATCACACCACCAAATCGTTCTTCTCGTATCGGTCGTTTACTCCTGGGAATAAATACCACCCACATGTAACTCGCTCTGTCAGCCATGAACTCAACACTTATCGGAACAGCCCGCGAGGTGTTTGAGCACCACCCAGAGCTCACAGTCTTCGAGAAACTATGGAAATCATGGTACGATTATATGGATAACGATGTTCTTGCTACCGGCTTGCTTTTCTTCCTCACACACGAAATTGTCTATTTTGGAAGATGCTTACCGTGGATGGTGATTGATAGAATTCCCTACTTCCGTCGCTGGAAGATACAGCCGAGCTACGTGCCTTCTGAAAAGGAGCAATGGGAGTGTCTCAAGTCTGTGCTACGCTCTCACTTTTTGGTCGAGGCTCTTCCAATTTGGACGTTCCATCCAATGTGTCAAACACTAGGCATTAGTGTCGCAGTCCCATTTCCGTCCTGGACAAAAATGTGCCTCGAGTTTTGTCTGTTCTTTGTGCTCGAGGATTTCTGGCATTACTGGGCTCACAGACTGTTCCATTACGGTCCTTTTTACAAATATGTCCACAAACAGCACCACAGATACTCTGCACCATTTGGTCTCACCGCGGAGTATGCTCATCCAATTGAGGTGATGTCGCTTGGCTTTGGAACCATCGGCTTCCCTATCATATATGCGTACTTTACGCGAGACCTTCATCTGTTCACCATTACCTGCTGGGTTTGCTTACGTTTATTCCAGGCGGTGGATGCACATTCCGGCTACGACTTCCCATGGTCATTGCACCATTTCATTCCCTTCTGGGCTGGTGCAGAGCACCACGATCTCCATCACCACTACTTCATAGGCAACTACGCCTCGTCATTCCGGTGGTGGGACTACTCAATGGATACCGAGGCCGGTCCAGAGGCAAAGAAACAGCGTGAACAGAGATGGAGGGAGAAGGAGGAGAAAAAGCTCCAAAAGCATTTGCTGAAAGAAAAGCTCCAGTAGATAAGGGTATAGGCGAAAAGCATTCCTGGCAAACGGAATTTGAGACTGGATCGTTCTTCTAACAAAGGATAGATTTTTGGAGGCATGTAACACATACTATAAATATTGGTCAGACCAGGACCCTGTATTAAGCCTTCATACTAATCTGGCACAAAAACTTGATATTAATTTTATTTTTTCCTGATTTACGCTTAATGCCCCAGATAAACCGCGGACAGCTGCTGCTGTTCATTATTTTTTTGACTTTCCTGCTGCCGAGCGCCCCACCCGAAGAGGCTGGCTACCTCTCGCCAGAAGAGCGCAAGCGAATGTTGGGCGATTTGAAAGATACCATCAGGACAGCAAGAACCGCAATGACGACCAACGACTACGCCTCTGGGTACGGGAACGTGACAGGGTATAAACTGAGCTACGGGGATGCAGTGAAGGGCCGCAAAGTGGAGGACTGGCCGTTTCCAGACCATACGGTCTTTTCAGAAGACGAAAAGCATAGTATACTGCCTAATAGGATCAGCCAACAGGCACGGGAAATTTGGAGCCATCGCGATGCGGCTTCCGGAGCATTTTGGCGCAACATTACAAGCACGCTACGTGGCGAATACTCTCTGCAAGACTCTTTTGTTCGTATACCGATGCCCATACCTGAATTTTACCAGAACTTGACGGAATACAGCGACATTATTAGCAACTCTACAATCCATCCTGGAAACGTCACAGATGAGCAGGGGCTTATTGAAATCACTCTGCGCAACTTCAACTACACTCCAGAAAGCAAGGATACCACCGCAGTGAGCATGAGTGTTAAGCTGAGCGATCTGAACGAACAACATGATCACAATCTGCGGCTCCAAGGAGCATACCATCAGGAAACAGGAAATTTGGTTGCCGTCTCGAATTCGGGCAAGTTCAACGGAATCTATGGTCTGCCACATCTGAACCTTGAAGATGGCCACTATTTCAACCAGACAAGGACGCTGATGGAGAGCAGTGTCAACCGCACAGATATTGACTCGCTGGACATGTCCTATCTCGAAGACCTGCTCGGGAAGAGCGCCAATTGTGAATATATAGCATATATGCATTTTGAGGCCACCAACTTGACTTCAGAGGAACTTGAGGTGATTGACACCGAGCTCGAGACCCCATTGGGACGACCACATAGTCCTATACCCAAAATCAATCTGGTTTCTGGTCTCTTGTACTCTCCCGACTGCGGCTTGTCGATCCGGGTGAACAAGGCCGTGGGACCGCGCGACGAGGTCCAACAGAAACAGATCAAAAACGTTCTTCTTTTCGGGATTTTGCTGATGAGTGCTCAGATTTGGCTGTTCATCAAACAGATGGGTTCCACCAACACGCCGTCCACGATGTCATGCATCTCATTCTGGTCAGTGGCCATTATCAACCTTGTCGACGGGTCGTTGTCGATGATTTCACTTTTGTGCTCGCTTGTGATGGACTCGCTCTACATCCAGTTTGCCGTTTGTGCTTTTCTGGCCTTCACATGCTCGTCTATATTCGAGATGAGATATATGATACTCATTTACGCAGCACAGATCAACGAAAGGAACATCAGCTGGAGAACCGCTTTCCAGGGCACCCCGATAGACGAGCGAGAAAATGATACCGACAACACGCAACAGAACCAACCCAATCCCGTGACACCTCAAGATGAACAGACCATCAGCGGCCAGCTGTACATGCGCTTCTTTTTCTCCCTAATTGTGTTTTCCTTCCTGGTGCTGAACGTGACACTATGGCCAAAGCCGCAGCGTGTCGGCTTTGAGTACTTGATCGGACTCCTGATGAATTCATTTTGGATCCCGCAAATTTATCGGAACGTGATCAGAGGCTCTAGACGGTCTTTCCGAAAAGATTTCATAATCGGCACCTCCATCATCAGACTCCTGCCAATAATGTACGTCACGATGTTCAAGAACCCATTCTATCACCACAAGGATATCAAGCTTGTCACATTGCTGACTCTTTGGCTGTCGTCACAGATATTCATGCTGTACCTACAGGAGCTGCTGGGGCCTCGCTTCTTCCTCCCAGACAAGTATCTTCCCAAGACTTACGATTACCACCCCGTTCTTTCGTTCGACGATCTCGAAAACTCGTTCAATGTCGACCACGAGGTTGTTGACTCGTCACATTCACACTCGAGATGCAAGATAGATTGTACCATTTGCATGAACTCCTTCGAGGTTCCTGTTCTCCATAGCGGCCACGATAAGGAGGACAACAGCAGCATCGGTCTGATGGCTCGTCGCTCCTACATGGTGACGCCTTGCAGACACATTTTCCACACCGAATGCCTGGAAAATTGGATGAAGTACAAACTGCAATGTCCCGTGTGCAGAAATAGTCTGCCACCCTTGTAAAAAATAAATGAAATAAATAATAGTCTAAAATCTAGTCATTTCCAAATGGGGCCTCCGAAAACGGTGAAAGCGTGTCTTTTTGACATGGACGGTCTCCTCATAGACTCTGAATCCGTCTACACTACGTCAATTTCGGACATATTGGTCAACAGGTTCAACATTCCTGGCGGTCTAACCTGGGACGTGAAGATGAAACTTCAGGGTCTTCCGGGACCAAAGGCATCTCAGACAGTGATAGATGAGTATAAACTTGAGGGAATTACTGCGCAGGAACTGTATGAGTGGACTTCAATAAAACAGGCAGAATTATGGCCAAAGGTACAATTTCTACCAGGAGCTCTAGATCTGGTTAGGAAGCTCGCAGCCAAGGGCATTCCCATGGTTGTGTGTACTTCCTCCCACAAAGACAAGTATGATATCAAAACTGCCCATTTACAAGAAGGCTTCAAGCACTTTGAGCTGGTGATCACGGGAGACAACCCTGTCATTGCAGGTAAAGGCAAGCCTCTTCCGTTTATCTGGTGGTTGGGGCTGTCAGAGCTGAATGACAAGTTGCGCAGCGAGGGCCGTATTCAGGAGGATATCAAGATCGAGGAGGTTTTGATTTTTGAAGACGCGGTTCCAGGCTTGATCTCCGGTAAGCGTGCTGGTGGATACGTGATCTGGGTGCCGGACCCACATGTTCTCGAGATGACCAAACCGGAGGAGCTGCTGGATAATGGTGCAAAGGGAGAGCTTTTGACAAGTTTGGAGGAATTCGACCTTGCCAAATATAATTTAGACTGATAGAGCCAATATTAATAAAGAGCTTTTTTAATTACAAGCACGAGAATAATTTATCTTTATAAATCCAATCAATCTAATAGGGAGCATTGCGGAAAAGGAAAGATATACTCTCTCCGTTATGCAAACGTCTGATGGCTTCGGCCAGGACACCGGAGACATCGATGGTGTCCAGCTTTGGACAAAGCTTTAATTTTTCTTCAAACGGCACGGTGTTGGTACACACAACTCGTTCGAGCTTGGACTTGTTGATGTTTGCGATGGCATTTCCACTCAATATTCCGTGTGTCACAATAGCAATGACCTCCTTGGCCCCGTTTTCCAGCAGAACCTCAGCAGCCTTGGCCAGAGTTCCGCAGGTGTCGGCCATGTCGTCCACAATAATACAGGTCTTGCCGGTTACGTCTCCAACAAGGACCATGCGACTCACCTCGTTGGCTCTGGCGCGTTCCTTATGTATAAGAGCGAAGTTCAGGTCCAGACGATCGGCCAGCCCAGCAGCACGCTTGGCTCCTCCCGCATCTGGAGACACAATAATAGCGTTCTTGACATCCAGTTTTTCTCGAATATACCGAACAACTGAAGGCTCTGCATAGAGATTGTCAACGGGCACGTCGAAGAAACCTTGAATCTGGGAAGCATGCAGATCCATGGTGATCACGTGGTCGCATCCGGCACTCGTCAGCATGTCTGCCATCAACTTGGCCGTAATAGGCGCACGGCTCTTGTCCTTTCTGTCCTGTCTGGCGTAAGGGAAGTTTGGCAGAACAGCAGTGATTCTTCTCGCAGAGGCAGTTTTGCAGGCGTTGATCATGATCAGCAGTTCCAAAACCTTGTCATTGACAATTCCTGACCCGATTTGCATTATAATGTAGATATCTTCGTCTCTGATGGACTCCCCAATGGAGAACGACACTTCCTTGTTGGAATCACGCTTGATGTCCACAGGGGTCAGCGAAAGCCCCAAGCTGCGAATTAGCTCAACGTGATGAAACCAAAATACCTACCGCTTCGCCACAAGCTCCGCCAGATTTCTCTGGGTATCACTGGCTAGCAACTTAATCGAATTAGAGGACATTGACGAGGACAAATGATTGATAGTGTTAAAATTTTTTTGTGGTGCAAAGATGGAAGTTCCGGCGAAGCGAAAGTCTAGGGAGATAAGGTATTATCGTGGTTTGGCGACTTTTGGCGACTCTTCACCTACATGGCCACCTGCGAACAGACTTCTGGTACGTCTATGTTGTGCACGTGGCTCGTGCGATACCAATTCGGGAACCACTCAGTTTTACATAATCAGATAATGCGCTGAAAGGGATAATTTAATTAAATCTCGAGCTACAAAAAAATTACTGATCTGACGTCCCGATGGAGTCTTCTAGATCTGCCACTTTTATCCACGATATAGAGAAATTTGTCAAAGCTGGAGTGCTTCCAAAGCTTATAGATCCGCAATTGCCTCCTGCTTTGATGGAAAAGTACTCAATACCGCATCTCAGGTTGTCCGATCTGGAGTCGTCGCAGGCTAGCGATGGTCCGCCACGCAAAATAGTCAATTTCAGTTACGAGGCCTCCAAAATGACAGCGAACTCATCACGGGTGCCTAGAGACGCGACACTTTAAACCTGGCTCAAGGAGTCCAGCTAGCAGCGCCGAAATTATGGCTTGCGATTTCTAATCAGCCGTTCCAGCCCAGTTCATATTTAGAAACAGAGTTAAATGTTTCAGACACACTTCAATCTAAAAATCTACCACATCAGTATTAGTCTTACAGCACACTTAAAACGGGATAACTAAAGGTAATTTCTATAATTCTGAATCCTAAAGAGTAGATAAGATATGGTCCACTGAGTGTTGGACACCTTCACTGAGCCAGCGTGTCTGGGTAGAAGAAGAAAGAGATGGCGATGATCAGGTAGGTGCTAACCAACATGACACCCTCCAGCCAATTGGACTCTCCATCCAGAATCAGATAGTTTGTGATCAGAACTGCGACAAACATGACTGCAGTCTCGTAGGTGGAGAAGTACAAGGACATTGGAACATCGAATATCCAGCCAATCAACACCAAAAAGGGAGTGACAAATAGCGAGATCTGAATCGACGATCCCACGGCAACACCAACAGCAAGGTCCATTTTGTTTTTGTAGGCCACCACCACAGCCGTGACGTGCTCTGCTGCATTACCAACGATAGGAATGACAATCAAACCAATGAAAGTTTTGGAAAGACCAGAGGTCTCGACAATCTCGTCGATAGAAGACACCAGGGAGTCGGCAGAGAATGACACAAGAACGGTGGTGACGAGCAGCACAGCCACCGAGGATATCGTGCCAATGTGTTTGGGCTGGGGTCCAGGACCCAGCTCCAAAAGAGATTTTGGTCTGCCCACCAAAAATCCTCTTCTTGGGTGGTTTGTTTCCTGAGATTCCAGGGTAGTGTTACTGGTGGCCTCATCTATAGGAATTTGTTGCTCCTCATCACTTGGCTCCAGAACCTGCTCAAACAGAAACTTGTGAGTTTTCAACTGGAAGTAAAGGTAGAAGCAGTACACGATGAGCAGAAGCACAGAAGTTCCTCTGGAAAACTCGAGGATTTTGGACTCGAGATCCTTTGTTTTGGACGGCAGTGAGGCATGGAACGCTGCGGGAAGCAGCAGCCCGCTCATCGAGAGTGCCAGCAGCGAGCTCATGGTCTGGGCTACTGTCTGGTTGAAAGACTGCTGAGGATACCAGATGCCTCCTGCTACGAAGCAACACCCCAGCACGAGGAGCAAGTTCGAAAGGATAGAGCCCAACATAGAGGCCTGGACCACTGTGATTTGGTTCTGGCTCAAGGCGATAACACTGACGATAACCTCAACCGCGTTTCCGAACGTAGCGTTGAGGAGTCCTGCTATAGAGTCGTTGTGGATGGCTTCTCCCAATTCTTCCGTAGCATAGGCCAGCACGGATGCCAATGGGATGATAGCAAGGAAGTTGAAGGAAAACACTAGCGAGGCTTTCCATCCGAGCCAGTCTGCTAGATAACCCAGAGGAACGAAGAACAGAAGGAAGTTGATGGGGGACGACCTCAAGGTCAGTTTGATGACGTGAGGGAGTTTATTGGTTTGGTCGGTGGCGGCTGCGGGAGCAACCAATGGCGTATTTTCAGAGGACATAGTATGCTAGGACTGGGACCCTTGGATTGAAACGAACAGACAAGAAAATACCAATTTACCTATTGTTTTTTAGAACGCGGCACAGTAATCTTTTGCGTCGGTCGACGTGAGATTATTTCTACACTGGATAGGCTGAAGAAGACTAAATTTGCTATGGCTCAGTGTCAGACTTGCGACAATGCTGGTGAAAGAAGCATGCTTTTTGATGAAGAGCAGGCGCTGCCATGTTTCTCCAAGGCCAGTGAATAGATCAGGGCAAGCGGGATTGTTTTATTATGCAGACTGCATAGCTCTATTAATGCTTCTAAGCGTACACCATAATATGTAGTGAATCTGAATTAGATTGCCCCTTTCGTGAGCGGGCGCGCATCTGCTTCTTGACCGTGAAAAAAGCCGTCTTGTCAAAACGGTGATAATTATTTTCGCGTCGCGTACTGATCCCTTTGCAGGCACTGTGCATAAATATGGCCGATATACCTGGTTGAAAAATTTATACCTAGCTTGCTGGTAGTATCTCGCTACTCTTTGGCCGTTCATTCTTTTCACGCCTACCATGTCTGACGTTCAAGCCCTGTACCACTTTCTCAGGAGGCCCGTGTCGCCAGACATGATCCAGTGCCTGGTCAACACCACCAACTCGGTTATTGCCGTTCCTGACTATTCCAGATCGTCGCTGCCATCGCCGCCGGCCTCGCCTTTGGAGAAGCCAGTTCCTTCTCTCTACTGCTTTATTGAGGCGCTTATCGATCATTCCCATGTCCAGACACCAACTCTCATGTCGAGCCTGGTCTATCTAATCAGATTGCGCGAGATCCTGCCGCCAAACAGCACGGGAATGGAAACTACCAGACACAGAATCTTTCTGGGCTGTCTGATCCTGGCCGCGAAAAACCTTAATGACTCGTCTCCCTTGAACAAACACTGGTGCAAATACACCAATGGCTTGCTCTCCCTGAGAGATGTCAATACCCTGGAGATGGAACTGATAGGATATCTGGGCTGGGATAACATCAGAATCAGACAATCGGACCTGATTTCAACCTTCAGTCCTTTCCTGGAGCCTATCAAGTCCAAACTTAGACGGCAATCCGAGGCTAAGATCGCCAAACACAGGGACCTCACCAGAGACCTGACCAAATCACACCTCTCTTCCTCCTTGCCTTCTCCAACGCAGCCCTTGTATGCTCACTGGACTAAAGTGCCCTCGTTTTCACACATGCCTTCTCCGTCCCCACAAAGACCAAAGATGGCCATCAAAAGAACCTCTGGCTCCACCAACCTGAACGCTAAATACTCTGCATACAACTTGCAGAAGCCATACTCATTCCAGTCGCTACCAACTACCGCCTCCATTCCTTCGCTTTCGACTTCCTCCTCCATTCCCTCTCTGGCCTCAACAAACTCCACCAGCTCGACATTATATCCGGTGGACGACTTCAACCCAAAACCCTTGAGGCTACCAAATTCGCACTCACGTGACTTGGACGAGAATAAAGAAAACCACATCATGGGCCCCTATCTCAGGGTGATCAACCCGGACATGATGCATTCCATACACTAGAGATACATATATGTTTACAGTTTTGAGCCGGACTCAATATCAATATATCTTAACAAGTTAGTCAAGCCTATACACCCCTCTCATGCTTAACTGTATAAATCGTCTTCTTCGTCTTCAACCGATCCAAACGCAGCCCCAGCACCATCTGCTCCAGCACCCCTATCGTTAGATCCAGCAGCGTCGCCTCCTTGGCCGAACGAGAAGTTCGTGAACTGACCTCTAGAAGATTGAAGTTGTTGCGCGTAAGCCTCGTAGCGCCTCAACTCAGTTGGGGAAACAGAACGTTTAGCTGTCTTCATAGCTTCTTCGAAGTGAGCTTTTGTGATGTATGGAACAGCATCAGGAATGCTCTCCTCCTCACCATCCTCAACCTTCATCTCAACGTCATCGGAGCCTTCAGCGGCCTTTCTTTCGGCCTTCTCCTGCTCGTATCTCTTTTGAGCTTCGATGGAGTCTTTGATAGCAAATTTGGCAGCTCTCTGGACAATGTACTGCAGATCAGCACCAGTGAAGCCGTGAGTGGTTTTAGCAATAGCAGCCAAGTCCAGATCTGGCTCCAATGGGGTGTTCCTCAATTGAGCCTTCAGAATCGACAGTCTTCCGGCTTCGTCTGGCAATGGAACATAAATCAATTGGTCCAATCTACCTGGTCTCAAAATAGCAGGATCAATTTGATCTGGCCTGTTCGTAGCACCAATAATGAAGACGTTCTTCTTGGCATTCATACCATCCATTTCGGTGAGCAGCTGGTTAACAACCCTATCCGACGCTCCACCTGCGTCTCCCATGCTGCCTCCTCTAGCCTTGGCGATAGAATCCAGCTCATCCAGAAAAACAACTGTAGGAGCTGCAGCTCTAGCCTTATCGAAAATGTCTCTAATGTTGGACTCAGATTCACCATACCACATACTCAGCAACTCAGGACCTTTAACGGAGATGAAGTTAGCAGAAACCTCGGTGGCAACGGCCTTTGCCAAAAGGGTCTTACCAGTACCAGGAGGACCAAAGAATAAGACACCCTTCGAAGGCGAAAGGCCAAATTTGGTATATTGGTCTGGATGCAAGACGGGATATTCCACAGTCTCCTTCAGCTCTTGCTTGATACCATCCAAACCTCCAATGTCATCCCAAGTGACGTTGACACTCTCGACGACAGTCTCACGCAATGCTGATGGGTTAGAGTTACCCAGAGCGAATCTGAAGTTGTCCATAGTGACTCCCAGAGAATCAAGAACTTCGGCATCAATGTTTTCTTCTTCCAAATCGATCAAGTCCATCTTCTCTCTTATTTGTTGCATAGCGGCCTCAGAACATAGGGATGCAATATCAGCACCAACGTAACCGTGCGTCTCAGCAGCTAGGGCCTCAAGGTCAACATCGTCAGCCAGCTTCATGTTTTTAGTGTGGATTCTCAAAACCTCAAGTCTTCCAGCGGCATCAGGAATACCGATGTCGACCTCTCTATCAAATCTTCCAAATCTTCTCAAAGCGGGATCGATCGAATTAGGTCTATTGGTAGCAGCAATAACAACGACGTTTGATCTAGCCTTCATACCATCCATCAAGGTCAAGAGCTGGGAAACAACTCTTCTTTCAACTTCTCCGTTTGTCTTGTCTCTCTTCGGTGCGATAGAGTCAATCTCATCGATGAAAATGATAGATGGCGAGTTTTTCTCGGCCTCTTCGAAAGCTTTTCTGAGGTTACTTTCAGACTCACCGGCCATCTTCGACATGATTTCCGGACCATTGATTAGGAAGAAGAATGCACCAGTTTCATTGGCAACGGCTCTGGCCATCAAGGTCTTACCAGTACCAGGGGGGCCGTACATCAAGATACCTTTGGGAGGCTTGATACCAATGGCCTTGAACAACTGTGGATGTCTAAGTGGCAACTCAACGAGCTCTCTAATCTGGGCCATCTGTTTTCTGCAGCCTCCAATGTCGTCGTAACCAACTTCATTGAGGTTATTTTCCTCGTCCTCTCTATTGATAGGTTCGCCCTCGGAATGTATTATGGTGTCCTGAGACACAATGGCGTGTTCTTCCGGCTCGACTTCCACAACCTTGAACTCAACTTGCCTCATGCCTCCTCTGACAACGAAATGATCACCTTTACGAACAGGTCTGTAAGCATCAACAAAGTATGGCTTCAAGAAGACATCGAACAGAGATCCGGTGATACCTTCAATGGTGTCTGCAATCGGCAACACCGAGATTCTGGTGGCAAACTTGATTTCGGGACATGGATGAATTGTCACAATGTCCCCAAGACGAACTCTCAAGTTGTTCCTTGCCACTCTGTTGATTCTACAAACACCATCCTCGATATCATCATCGGCCAAAACGATCAGGACAGTGTCCTTTCTCTTCTTTCCTTTGACCAGGGCAGCATCGCCACGGAACAATTGCAAAAGCTCCATCGTGTTGGACGACATAGAAATGATGGAGTTGTCATCATTGGTGGCATCGTCGACAACTAAGGCATTATCCTTCTTCTTTCTTCTCAAAATCGCGGTAGCAGTCGAGTCTTCTGGAACGACTTCTCTGCCAGAGGCGTCTAACAAGGGCTTCTTCTCATCCACCATTCTATCTGATTGGATTATCTTTCAATTGAGCAATCAGAAAAACTAAAGATGTTAAATGATCAAGGGCAAATACGAAATATTTGGCTTTTGCCACTCAGACTGGGAAATCCAGGATTTTGTGGAAAATCATCCTTACACCAAAAGAGCCGTATTTATCTGGCATTGCCACCATCAATTTACACAAATACCAGAGCTGATCGGACTCTATACGTATGAAAATGCTGCGACCGATTTAGGCCAGCTTTGCTGTGAGCTCCTTGGCAAACTCGGAGAGTTCATCCATGTCTGCATTTCTTGCTGGCCAGCCGATCACGAGTCCCGTTTCTGGGTCCCGCTTTGGGATCAGGTGAAAGTGGACATGGTCGACCACCTGGTGAGCGATCCGCCCATTGTTCTGCAGAATGTTGTAGCCATCTTCGTCGGGAGTGGTGACTTCCAGGCCAAGAGCTTTGACCAATTTTTTGGTTACTGGCAGTATGTCAGCAAGGAACTCGTCTGGGATGTTGTGCAGCATGGCTCCGTGGTACTTTGGAATCACCAACAAGTGGCCTTTGGAAGTGGGCTGGATGTCCAAGAATGAGTATGAAAATTTGGTCTCGAGGAGTTTGAAAGATGGGATTTCACCTAATTGATTAGATTTTATAAACTAGCCATTGGACCAGGCCTAGAGTACCTACCCTTGATAATCTTGCAAAAAATACAGGAAGCTTCGTGGACAATCGACATGTTGCTTTGTATGTAGGCTATGATAATTAATAAATAAATCGCTAAATATTAATTGAACATCTACTCCGTAATATACACCTAAAACCCGAAAACACTACTAAACTGTCGAAGTCCCATTGTGGCCACCATTTGGAATCCTTGTGCACCGAAGGGGAAGTAACTCAATGTGTAGTAGAGAACAGCAAATATCTCAATGATTCCCGTGATGAGAGTGAGAATCGTCGACTTTAAGATCGCTGCGCAGTACAACGTGCTCAAAACGCTGCCAAAAAACACCACTGTAAAAGGCAGTCTTTCCTTGGATACAAGATGCTTACAATAATCCACAGGTCCTTGTAAACATCCAAAGCTTAGCACAAACAGGATCGAGCCCAAAGTCCACAACATGGCAAATTTGCGAGGTTTTAATGTCAAAACAGGGAATAGTAGTATTCCCAGACCAAAACACACTATCGAGCCGGCAATAAAACAGAAAAAACACACGAGGCGTTCGAATCTCGAAAGCTTAAACCAGGATGGCTCCTGCTGTGCATCGAGATCCTGATTATGCAACGGAAGGGCATTGTATGCTGAGTTGTACCCCTCTTGCACTCTATCCGTGAACGCACTGAACATGGTTTTAGCCTTATTGGCTATTCCATCGGTATCGTCGCCAGCCTGGATGCCTCGAGTTGAGCGCCAATTCGACAGAAATTCAGCATTACCTGACATATCGGATTATTTTTATTGCCACAATTAGTTCCAGCGAAGACCAAAACAAAAAAATCGGCTGGCTTATGTCATCCATGTTTGACCGGCAGGCTCCTTCAATAGTTCTTGGAAAAACGCTTCGGGATCCTCCACTTTGAAGTCCTGGAAATCTGGTTTCGGCTCCTCAGACGACCTCGCGTCCGGTGTCGAGAACGACTCATCATACTCTGGCGATTGAGTTGGCTGAATTCGAGAAACGGGCTGTGCTGGGGGTTGATACTTTGGCGGCTCCGAGGTCGTTCCTGCTGACAGTTCATCAATTCGTTGTCGCAACAAAGCGAGTCTTTCATCCTGACTACCTGAGATCTCTCTCAGATACCCTATGTACTCAATAGATTTAGTCAAAATGGTGCTTTTGTTAGCCTTTATCTCTTTGTTGGGGTTGTTTTTCGACTTGGTGAAATTATTCAGTAGCGAGGGTGGAATGAGAGTGCCCAGTTCCTTTATTTTCTCCTTGATCAAGTCTCTGCGTCGTCTTTCTACGGCATTGTGTAGCTCTCGGCGGCGACTGAGTTTGCTCTCTTTGCTTAAGGCGTTTTTTGGGTTCATGTGAGTGCCTATTGACGCTGGTGACCCAATCGATTTGTGAGAGGGAGAATTAATCGGGGATTTCAAATAGGAATCTGTAAAGCTCCCGCCTTGGTACGAACCATAAGGGGAGTCCAGCAGTCCATCGTAGGTAGACGCTGGGGAAATAAGGTTGTTCAACGAAGTACCAAATTGGGAGCTGTAGCTGCGGCCCTGATTGCTAATGCTGTTCGAGCGCCTATTCATCGATGACGACAGAAGAGGATGTACCTGTGGAGATTGGTATTGATAGCTGTTACTGTGCACGCTGGCACCTCCAATGCTAACCGACCTTTCCACGGGAGGAAGGCCTTGCGGGCTCAAGGCGGCCTCAGAAAAATCGTTGGCGCTGAAAGATTGGCCGCTCTCCCACGGCTCGAAGTCCGAAGCATCTACGTTCAAAGCGGGGAGATTTTTATACTCGTTGAACCCGAACGGTGACGGATGCTCCTGTGCTTGATTATTTGGCAATGCCTGTCCGTTTAAGCTGTCCACAAATTGGTCCAGTTGCTCTAGAGTGTCTTGGTAATTCTGGTCGCCGTTTGACGGAGGAAGAAATATTTCATTCTTGTCCATGCTGGCCGGCTGTAATGGTTAAATAAAAGTGTTTTGTAAAGATTATATTCTTTGGTTTATTTCTGTTAGCATTACATAATATAAAAAAGGCGGACGCTACATGTAGTAGTATTTGAAATTGGGTTGGGCCCTAGTGGGCTTTGTTGTATCCATACGGATACTTGCAGACTGACGACGGCTTGGTGGTCTGGGAGAAGTAAGCTGTGGCTCCTCCAGCGGGTTTACCGACCAACGTGACGATGTTGGCAGCTGCTCGGAATGGCTTCGGAATGGTGACCGCAAAACCAGTTTCTCGGGTAACTCGGTAGCTGATGAAACAAGTAGTGGACTCGATATGGAGGAGCTCACTATGGATTCTCGCTTAGAGCGAGGACTATTTTTCGACCGCTTCGATATCGACAGGCTTCGGAACGTCTCGACGATCCGTTTTCCGGAGTCGCGTCGTTCTGGCCCATCGGAGTCACTCCAGTCAATAAAACATTCGTTGTCCTCGTCCAGACGCGGTGTGGCAAAACTGCTCACGGGGTAGCTGCTGGAAGAGATATCGCGGTGAAGTGATTGGGGTGTTGCGGGAACGCCAGCAGTGCCGGGCTCTTGTTTAAGGCTATTTGTACTAGTTTCTATCTCGGAGTTTCCGTCGACTGACTCTCTCGATGCGTTGGCTCCCATCTCGCTAGCTGCGTAGTTCTGGTACAGATCGAGTATGTCTCCTGTTTGATCCCTTAACGATAATCTGTCAGGCGACACGGAAAAGGACTGGTTTTCAAACGAAAAAGGGTTTTGCGCGTCGTTTTGCTTATGTGGGATTTTTGGGGATCCTTCGCAATCGGGCTGATCCACAAGGATAAATTTTTGTGGCACGGGGGAATTGTTTTCGGTGCCGATGGAAGCATCTTCTTTCGGAGAAGGGGCAGGTAATGAAGGATCACTTTTGAGGGGCCGCACTGGACTTGGTGATATGGCCGTGACTGGGACAGCCTCTTCTATGTGGACACTTGATCCGAATGAGATGAGCGACGCTGAATACTCTCTTGGTTCCTGATCAGCAAAATTGGAAGAAGAGCGGGTTGAAATAATTGGCAACTGCCGTTCGGCCAGTCGCACAATTTGTGAGTATTTCGACTCCTTTGAAACCTGTGACATGAACTCTTGGTAGCTACTGTCCACCTCCAAATTTCCCAGCTGGTATGGCACCAGAACATCCCTGAGTTTGAGTTTTGAGGTCCGCGGCGAAGAGGGCACTGAGCGTCGTCTGAAGAGACGTGAAAACCTCTTTCTTGGTCTCTGCCTTGCGCTCTCAACAACCGAATGGTTACTTTCTATACTCATAACAAAGTTGACTAAGCCATAGGCTTTTTCATCAGGTGGTTGCAGAATACAGATAATCGCACATTTTCAAAATCACAGCTGCTCCTACTTGAACGAAACTTGGCCAAACGTGAAAATGTGGTCGAATTTCACTTGGGGCCTCGCCCCGTTTGTTTGCTGCAGGCAACACTCGTTAAAATTATGCACTAAAGTAATAGCAACATAATAAGGCACAACGGTTAAATGTGGAAGACGATCACGGGGAGCTGTATGGTCAAACAAGATGAAACAGGAGGTCAACACACACAGCATAAAAGATAGCACCATCTTTGTCTCTTGTCCCGAGGCCGGCCCGTCTCCGTTACTGCCTCCTACTTACTATACGTGCCCTGATTCTATCTTCTGGTGTAAAGATGTGAGACGTCCAAAATTTACCAACCTCATTTTGTTTATGGCCATCCTGCGCGAACGCCCGTCTCCAATAGTCCGCAAGAGTCTTCGGCGGCGAAGACTCGCTCCGCGTCTACTGGATAGCGATTCAGACACGTCTCCGCCTAGAAAGTTGCCCACGCCCAGGAGCCCTCGGCCAGTGGAGAGAGATGAGTACCTCGAGGTGTCTAAACCCCGTGAGGAACAGAATTTCACAGACTACTACGAGGGTCTTGACGAGTGCGAGCCGTTGCCTGTCGTGGTGAAAGAGAGCAGGATAGATGACGAGTTTGAGGAGTACATGTTGAAAAGGAAACGACAGGACCGCGAAATTTTGGCACGGCTGAAAAGACCGTCTTTCAGGAAAATTCCGGATCAACATACAGAAGCACCTCCTGTTGCTAGAAGTATGATCCAGTTCGGCTACAACGACAACAAAACTGTGCAAAAGTCGACATTTTGGCGGCCGACAGACCGAGGAGATGGCCTCATTACCGACGGTCTCACCTTAGACCAGAAAGTGCGTTCCTTGTATGATATGGACGAGCAGGATGCGAGTTACCTTGAACACGTCAATGCACGACTTGCCAAAGATGGCAAGCATATTTCTTTGGAGCTTTTTGAGATGATAATGACCTATTTCGAAATGGAATGGTGTCTCATCGAGAAATTGCTACCACCGAAAATAAAAAACGAACACCAGAACGAAGAACAGGCCCAGCTCCATGCCCAGCTGTATGGGTCCGACGACGGGATAGGAGCCGCTCCAGAGGAAGACCAGTGCTGTGCCGTTTGCAATAGAAATGATTGCGACAATTCGAACGCCATCGTTTTCTGCGACGGCTGCGACATAGCTGTTCATCAGGAATGCTATGGCGTTGCATTTATTCCAGAGGGCCCCTGGCTGTGTCGAAAATGCCTCATTGCGCGAAATCAAAAGAACAGATGCTTATTTTGCCCTAGTGTCACAGGTGCGTTCAAGCAGACAGACAACGGCGGATGGGGCCACGTGATCTGTACATTGTGGATAAACGAACTATATTTTGCCAACCCTGTCTATATGGAGCCGATCGAGGGCATCGGCAATATCCCGCGAAGCCGCTGGAAACTCACTTGTTATATATGTCGCCAGAAAGTTGGAGCGTGTATACAGTGTTCCAAGCCCAGTTGTTCGATCGCGTACCACGTTACGTGTGCGCGACGCTCAGACTTTTATATGGAGATGAAACAAGGAGTCCAGACAGCCATCCATGATAAGAGCACCGTTGTGTCGTACTGCGATAGACATTCTCCAAAAGAGTGGGATTTTTATCATGACACAAAGCAAGGGATCCAAAAAACAAGGCTTTACTACAGCACTGGGAAGAACCGAGACTCCGGAAACAAAATTGTGATTAGCAAAGCCGAGAAAAAGGAGCTTAAAGATACGAAAAACCACTGGTTCAAATGGAAGACCGTGCGCGGAGCTCCTATCCTTCCTCTTGTTGTGATTAAGAAGTTGGACAAGATGCTCCAGAGCTACAGAATTCCACAAGATATTAACTATTTATATGAGTTTGCAAAGTATTGGACTCTGAAACGCGAGGCAACTGGAGGTCCCCTTATCAGACGTCCGGATACGGCAAATCTTGGTGTTCTCACAAATGAGGAGATCGAAGAGCGTCTTCAGGCTCTAGATTTGATCAAACAGGACATAGTCAAATTAGCAGAGATATCCTCTCTATCCCTGAAAAAGGCAAAACTTGAGCTCAAGTCTACCAACGAATTGCTTGACCAGATAGAAATATATTACCTGCCGATGCAATATTTGATTAGGGAGTTATTAGATCAATTCCTCAAACACGACAGAAACAATGCCATAGTTTCGACAACCTTTGAGGACTCCAACCTGCCTTCTATCGGGCGAATAGTGGAAAAGGTTGAGAATTATGAATATCAACTAGTTAGCGAGCTTGTTGACGACCTTACCGCAGTGGATAATTATGTGATACAGAATTTCGATCCGCACAGTGCTATATACAGGCATATTCGCAATTATTGGAGGAGACTCAGGTCACAAACTATAGACAGGGCCCAAAAAGCCGAGCGCGCGTTGCTAAAGGGAAACAGAAAATTGTTCGCAGGGGTGGAGGCAGAAGGACTTGATTTCCAAGTCAAAGGATGAAATTACGGTACGAATAGAAATTGTGTCTGATTAAATCCAAGTATATATCAAAACATGTCGCTTACAACTTGTCGTAGTATTCTTCGTAGCCTGGAACTTCCTCTTTCATACCTCTTCTCTTTCTGGTGCTAGTGACAATTTCACCAGGCTTGGTGTTCTTGTCAGTTGGATCACCGTTCATGGTGGACCAGTGGTCGAAGATCATTTGTGGGAAAGCTTGACCACCGGTGGCTTGTCTCAATTCACCAGTGAAACCGAAAGACTCGTTGACAGGCAAGTATGCCTTGACAGTGAACATTGGGGTACCTGGTCTTTGTTCTTCAGAAACAACTTGTCCTCTCTTCTTGTTCAAGACAGAGTAAATACCACCAATAGCGTTCTCTGGACATTGGACCTCGACCAGGAAGACAGGCTCCTGGATTCTTGGCTCAGCCAAAAGCATGGCGGCAAAGGTGGCTCTTCTCATCGTTGGCATGATTTGACCAGCACCTCTGTGGATAGCATCGGCGTGCAAGGTCACATCCATGATGTTGAATCTGACACCTCTCATGGTCTCACCAAGAATTGGACCCTCCTTAGTAGCCCATTGGAAACCGGCGTTGACGTGGTCCTTGATTTCAAGCAAGTATTGAACAGCCTTGGTTTGGTCGACAACAACGTTTGGACCAGATCCGTCTGGACCGAAACACCAGATCTTTCTGGCGTCGGTAACGTCCCAACCGTACTCGTCGGCCATCAATCTGGCTCTCTGCTTGAAATCGTCTCTGGCGTTAATCTTTCCGGACTCAATGGCTTGGTTGACCTCCTCGTCCATTGGCTCGGCCTTCAAGTAGATTCTGTTGTGCTTGTTTGGAGACTTGGACAAGGCAACAATTCTGGATTCAGACTCAACGGTTTCTCTGTAGGAGACGACTGGTGGAGAAATCTTCAATGGAACACCGGCGTGGTCATTCTCCAAGTCGGACAGACAAATCTCCAAGTGCAACTCACCGGTGGCAGCAACAATGTGCTCACCAGATGGAGAGATAGAAGTCAAAACACATGGGTCAGATTTGGACAGTCTCTTGAGACCCTCGACCAGTTTTGGAAGATCGTTACCGTTCTTGACCTCAACGGCGACCTCGACGACCGGAGAGACAGAGAACTTCATGACCTTCATGTTGTGAGAAGCCTCGTTGGTGGTCAGAGTACCGGACTTGAGCAAGAACTGGTCAATACCAACCAAACCAACAATGTTACCAGCTGGGCAGTCATCGATAGCCTCAACGAATCTTCCCATCATCAACACGGTTCTCTGGATAGCCTTGATGAATAGGTCGTCCTTCTTGCCAGGAACGTAGTTTGGACCTTGGATTCTCACCTTCATACCGGACTTGACAGTACCAGCGAACACTCTACCGAAAGCGTAGAATCTACCCTTATCAGAGGTAGGAACCATCTTGGACACGTAAAGCATCAAGTCGGCCTTAGGGTCACAGTTCTTGATAGCCAAACAAGAGGCGTCGTCGGATGGACCTTCGTACAAGGTTTCAGCTCTGTAGAATTGAGCAGTGACTGGAGATGGCAAGTGGATAACAATCATTTCGAGAAGAGCGTCAGCAGCTGGCAAGAACTTTCTCATGACGACCTTCAGGAGAGCCTTACCCTCCAGCTCCTTCTCCTCACCCTTCAAGGTGATCTCGAGTTTCTCAAGCAGGACTGGAATCTCATCCTTCTTGAAGTTCATGATAGCGGAGAACAGTCTGAAAATTGGGTCCAGAACGAACATGTTGAAGGCTCTCTCCAATGGCTGTCCAGAAGCGTCTCTGTCCTTGTTAGACCATTTCTTGGTCTTTGGGTTGAAGTAGGAGTCACCCCACAATCTCTCCATCATCTTGGCTCTGTCAACACCGAACTTCTTGGAGTATCTGACGGCGAATTGTCTGATGGTGAAGGCCCATCCGTGGAGACCGGAACCGAAAGCAACGGTACCCTTCTCTGGGTAAACTTGGACGTCACCCAAGACTGGCTCGACGTAAGTAGAGATGATAACGTTAACAGACTCAACAGTTCTGGAGAAAGACTGGTACAGCTCCTCCTTGGAGATTTGCAGTTCCAACATGGCTCTGTCGACCTTGTTGATGACAACGACCGGCTTGATTCTCTCACCAAGTGCCTGTCTCAACACAGTTTCGGTCTGGACACACACACCCTCAACACAGTCAACGACAACCAAAGCACCGTCAGTAACTCTCAGGGCCGCAGTGACCTCGGAGGAGAAGTCAACGTGACCTGGCGAGTCGATCAAGTTGATCAAGAACTTGTTACCATCAGTCTTTTGCTTGATCTCCTTCACGTCCTCGTCTTCCATCTCAGAGTAAAGAGAGATGGCGGTGGACTTGATGGTGATACCTCTTTCCTGCTCGTCCTTTCTGGTATCGGTAAATCTGGCCTCACCAGCCTTGGCAGCAGAGATGATACCGGCTCTCTGGACCAGAGAGTCGGTAAGAGTCGACTTTCCGTGATCGACGTGAGCGATAACGGACATGTTACGAACATTCGTAACCTTGTCCATTAACTCTCTGATTTGTTCAACAGTGAAGTTAACTAAAAAGTCAGTTTTTCAGCATCAGAACGCTGCGATCGCAGCACTGTAGCATACATACCCATTTTTGATGATTCAGTTGATTCTGCTAACGTTCACCAAACTTATCAAAAAGAATCAAGATTAATTATCTAGTTACAATTGGCAACCCTTACAAAATCCCACCAGGCTGAAAAATTTTTTAAGGTGTACAAATACGGAAATGGTTAAGGGGACTTACCCTGCCCTGCCGGGTAAAAACCCGCATGCCGTCTGTGCTGAGGCAGCAGGCTCAGGCCATCACCCAGACCATGATCGCCTGCACCACAAACGAGTACACAAATAGGAACTGGGTACGGATCCGTCTCGCTCCCGACGACAGGCTGTTTGCGTCGAGCCCGCTCGGCAAAACGACGTATTTGAGAGATCTCATCAGGAAGAAGCCGAGCGAGAAGATGTTGGCCAGGAACCCGGTGTAGATGAGGATTTTCGAGCTGACGAGGTTCTTTATGAGCATCAGCACCAGAATTGAGATGAATTTGTAGCCACTGTAGCTTACAAGATCCCAGAGCTTTCTGTTTTTCTGGTTCACTCCCAGCACGTAGAACGAGATCTTGATCAGACAGATATCCATCAAATAGAATGCCAGCGTTCTTGTTGTGGCGTAGCCCAGAAGCTGTGGATGGAAAGTGCCGTTGATCCCGCTGAAGACGGCCCACAGCAGCACGTACGACACAAACGACATCAGCGGGATGTACAGATCGGGGGCGTTCACGTCTTCTATAGGGCTGGCGTACATCTCGACGCTCTGTGAGACGTCTGTCGACCGCAGCTGTCTTGTCCACGTTTTGTTTCTGAAGGGGAAGAGAATAAGCAGTAGCTTGCTTAACACGTACTGGTTGGACACCTTGAAATAATACTTGATATCCTGGTTGGCCACCAGCTGGCCAAAGTTCTGCTGCATATACTGGTGAGAGGCATTGAAGGCCGATTGGCTGAACTGGAGACCCATCTGTGCGGCCGGATCGTTAAAGAAGGTATTAATGTTTGCTGTTTGTGCGCGCGGGGCGTGGTGGTTGGCATTCATGTACGCCTGGGACTCAAACTGCTGGGCGTTCGACGCGGTCCCGAACGGCTCCTGCTTGGGCAGTTCCTGGGGATTGGCGTATGGGTTGTACATGGAGAGAGAAAATATGTTTGCAAGAATTTCAAAGTTGGCAGTGTAATACCAGGGGGGGAAAGAAGGAGTATTATTTGAAAACGGCACGCAGGTTGGGAGAGCCCATGGCAGGCAGCAGAGCAACGATATGGGTTTGGCGAAGTTTTGAGTTGGCTGTCCCCCTCTTTGGCCGGCATTTCGACCGCTGTTAGCGTCGTCAGTCGCAGACGCTTTTTTCTTGCGACGATCGACGCCGACCTAGTTACGCGTCTTCGCGTTTGAATATTTTCTCAACTTTATGTCGGTCACCACCATGAGACCTCACAACTCTGTGAGATTCGTGAAGAACGAGCGCGGCGCGGCGCGCACAGACGAGAACTACGCCAGAAATAACGAGGCTCGCGTGCGTCTGCGCCACGAGGCCGTCCAGGAAGTCGACAGGATCGACTCCGTCTTTGGCTTTGATCGGTACAGTTCTGGCGCAAAACGGGTTGGTTGGCTCGTTAACATGCATCCGACAACACTGCCCACGACAGAGAACATAGCTGGCTGCTCAGGAGTCGACTACTACTTCCTGGACGAGGAAGGGGGCTCGTTCAAGGCAAGCGTCCAGTACGACCCCTATTTTCTGCTAATGGTCCAGACAGACCGTGCCACAGAGGTCGAGGAGTATTTGCGGAAGTTTCTGGAAGGCACCTTGAAGAAGCTGTCGTGGGTGGAGAAGGAAGACCTTGCTCTGGCGAACCATCTGGTCGGGCTGAAGCGGCAGCTTCTGCAGCTGAGTTTCCACAACGTCTCGGACCTTTTGGAGGCCAGGCGACAGCTACAGCCCATTATCCAGCACAATAAGTCCACAAAAAACAGCAAGGACATATATCAGTCGGTGAACATGAACTACAACACGTTTATGAAGCACGACGACGGTCACGAGGAGGCCGAGCGCAAGGCCGGCAATATTACCGACTTGATTGAGGATATCCGCGAGTACGACGTGCCGTATCACGTGCGCGTGTCGATCGACTGCAATATCCGCGTCGGCAAGTGGTACACGGTGGAGGCAGACCAGGGCAAGGTGACACTCGAAGAGCGAACCGACAAGCTTGCGTTTGCCGACCCTGTGGTGCTGGCGTTCGATATCGAGACCACCAAGGCGCCGCTCAAGTTCCCCGACAGCTCTGTGGACCAGATCATGATGATCTCGTACATGATTGACGGCGAGGGGTATCTGATCACCAACAGAGAGATCATCAGCGAGGACATTGAGGATTTTGAGTACACCCCGAAACCAGAGTATCCTGGCTATTTCACAATTTTCAACGAGCCAGACGAGCGGCACGTGA